GGCTTCCTGAATAGAATGACAATCCACTTCAATATGCTTCGTACGCTCATGATAAACAGAGTTAGAAGCAATCTGAATTGCACTCGTGTTATCAGTGTGTAGAGGAGTGGGATTAGATTGAGGGAAGCCAAGCTCAGCCAAGAGCCCACGAAGCCAAACAATCTCCAAGCAAGCAACAGACATCGCACGATATTCGAGTTCAGTTGAGGATTTGGAAACACGAGCCTGTTTTTTACTCTTCCAGGATATTAAGGAATTGCCAAGAAACATACACCAACCCGTAACAGAACGACGAGTATCTAGACACCCAACCCAATCAGCATCACTAAAACTAGTAAGGCGAAGAGGAGAACCAGCAGGAAAGAACAATCTATGACTCGCAGATCCTTGGAGATACCGAATGAGATGACGAACAACAGCTAAATGAAGATGGCGTGGAGTTTGCATAAACTGACTAATCTGCTGGACTGCAAAAGAGATATCAGGTCGTGTAATAGTCAAGTAGTTCAAGCTGCCAACCAACTGTCGAAACATGGTAGGATCAGGAAGGAGTTCACCTTCATCACGATGGTAATTCACATTCACTTCTAGAGGAGTATCCATTGAAGTAGAACCCTAAAGTCTAGCCAAAGCAATTAAATCCTGTATATATTTGTGTTGATTCACAAATATACCCGAAGAATCGGTATGAACTTCCAACCCTAAAAAATACGTAAGACGACCAAGATCCTTCATATGAAAGGAGTCTTGAAGATGGTTCTGGAGTCGGGTAATCAATAAGGAATCTGTTCCTATAATGACAATATCATCTACGTAAACAAGTAGGAGGACAATACCAGAAGAGGTCTTGCAAAGAAACAGAGAGAAGTCATATTGGCTCTGCACAAATGAGAAACATATCAAGGTAGACCAAAAATTTTCAAACCATGCCCCGAGGAGCTTGTTTCAAGCCATAGAGAGACCGCTTCAACTTGCACACGTCTGAAGAAGGAGAGGAGAACAAACCCGGTGGAGTTGCCATGTAAATATCCTCCTTGAGATCACCATAAAGAAAAATATTTTTGACATCCATCTGGTGAAGTGGCCAGCCCTGGGAAGCTGCAATGGAAAGAACAGTACGCACGGTAGTCATCTTTGCCACTGGAGCAAATGTCTCCTCATAGTCCACTCCATACTCCTGCCTGTTACCAAGTGCAACCAACCGTGCCTTATAGCGATCTAGGGTCCCATCAGAGGAAAGCTTAATTGAATAAACCCATTTGCAACCAATGGCTTTAACAATAGAAGGGCAAGGAAAAATGTCCCAAGTATGATTCTCTTGAAGAGCTCGAAGTTCCTCATCCATTGCCTTCTACCAACAATCATGTTTGACAGCCTCGAAGTAACATGTAGGAATAAGAGTAGAAGACAAAGTAGCATTAAAAGAAGTATGAAAACCATACCAATCAGGAGGACGAGAAAATCTTGTAGAGCGTCTAGGACCAGGCTTAGGAGGTGCGCTGGGCTCGGAAGAAGCAATCGGACCAGTCTCAGATGGCAAGTTAGACTCGGGAAGAGTTGGCTGAACAGTCTCAGATGATGGGTTAGACTCATGAAGGGGCGAATTCAGTCGACGTCGTTCATACACAAATCCAGGTTTGAACCGCTCAGGAAAAGAAGGCAAGTTATCAAAATAAGGAAGAACACTAATTTCAGGCAACGACTCAACATGTGCAGAAAAGAAAGGTTGATTCTCAAAGAAGACAACATGATGAGAAATACAAAATTTGTTAGAGCATGGATCATAGCAAACATAGCCTTTGTGTGAAATACTATAACCCATAAAGCAGCATTTAATAGACTGAGCAGAAAATTTGTGACGTTCATGAGAAGGTAAATGAATAAAACAAACACAACCAAAAGTATGCATATCAAGGTAGCTGGGATGTTGATGATAAAGACGATAATATGGAGAATCAAATTTTAAGACATGAGAGGGCACTCTATTAATTAGATAAACTACAGTAGACAAAGCCTCAACCCAGAATTTAGAAGGAACTGTGGACTCAAGTAATAAGGTGTGAACTACATCCAAAAGATGGTGATTATTTTGTTTTGCCACGCCGTTTTGCTGTGGTGTAGAAGGGTAGGAGCGTTGGGAGACAATTCCTTTGTGGTGTAGGAAATCATGAAACTCATGAGACATATATTCCCCACCAGAATCAGACCTCAAGACTTTAATACGTGTAGAAAATTGAGTCTCAACATACGCCACAAAGGTCTTGAAAACCGAAAAGACCTCAGATTTGGACCGAAGAAAATAGACCCAAGTATACCGACTATAATCATCAATGAACGTCACAAAATACTTATATTGAGCATGAGAAATTACAGGTGTAATGCCCCATAAGTCACTATGCATAATATCAAAGCACTTTTCTGCACGACTACCATGCGAAGGAAAAGGAAGAGTTTTACTCTTACCTAATTTACATGTGGAGCAATCAAAAGATAGATTATGTGAAAATTGATCTTTATTATCAACAAACCAGAGTTTAACAAATGAGACAAAACAACAGAATTGGGATGACCCAAACGTTTATGCCATACTATACTCTTACTGTTAACAGTCGTACAAGCCAAAGATAAACAACTAGGAATGGAAAAATGCAGTGGAAACAATCTGCCAACTTGAGGGCCCTTCGCGAGTATCTTCCCCGACACCTGATCCTGCACAAGACAACCATTACGAGAGAAATGGACATCACAGTGGTTATCAACAAACTGACCAACCGAAATAAGACTAGTAGAAAGTCCAGGGGCTACAAAAACATCTTTGAAAGATGGACTAATATCTCCAACAACATTAATTTGTAAATGACTCCCATTAGCAATCTGAATATGTGATGAGCCATGATATTTACGAACATTTCGAAGAGTTTCAGATGAACAGATCATATGATTAGACGCACCAGAATCTACAAGCCAAGATTGAGATGAAGTATTACCATTGCCTTGAAGTCCTAAAGCTGAAAAGGCTGAAACAATCATTTGTTAAACCATTTCAGGAGTAAGAATAGATTGTCTAGTAACAGTAAAATTGTTTGAAGACACTACTGGAGCAAAAGAAGAAGCATTGACTGCAGCTTGATAAGCATTAGCTTGACGATTTTGAGGTCGAGTAGGACAGTCCTTGATAATATGACCTTGTTTCTTACAATAGTTGCAAGTTTTCTTTGCATAGTTGGCAGTAATATGCCCATACTCATTGCAGCTAAAACATTGGACTTTGTGTATATCCCTACCCTTCCCTTTTCCTTGAGCTGCATATGCCACATGATCGTTATTGGATATCATTCGATCCTGCTGGAAAGTAGCCTGTGTGAGAAGACATTGTTCTTCACAAAGCAATTCTCCAAAACAAACATCCAAGGATGGAGAAGAATCCCGATTCATCAAATGCGAGCGAGTAACCTCAAATTCAAATCGCAATTTCATCAAAAACTGATCTCTCTTGCTTTGCTCATGAACTTCCTGAACAGCCGGGAGAGATTCAGCTGGTACCTTCGCGTAAACTATGTCAGAAGATTCTGCCCATAAATTCTGAAAACCAAAAAAATAATCTTGAATGGAGAGATTGCCTTAAGTGTAACTAGCAATCTCATACTCCAATTGAAAATGTCTTGCTATGTTGTCGTGATTGTAAACCTTTTTCAAATACTCCCACATGGTTTTAGCAGTCTTATAAGGCCTCAGATTAAGAACAATAAGTGGATCAACAGAACCTAAAATCCATGTCATCACATGGGCATCTTTAACCTTCCATTGAGCTAACTTTGTAGGATCCGTAGGAGTTGGATCACTTCCATCGATATGGCCCCACAAATCCTTTCCAGTAACAAATAATTGAAACTAAAATTCCCAAGCAGAATAGTTTTTACCAGTGAAACGTACACCAAAAGATTCAGAGTTGCTGGTTGACATAATGCTCGAATGACTCAAATCCACAATACAGCAACACTAAGAATGTACCAAGGAAAACAGTAAATCCAAGACACCAAAAAACACACACCAGAAAACTGGGAAGTTATCAACAATCCACAACGCAGCAACCCCCAAAACAACACAACAATGACACAGAATTTTGACAGCCAAGAATGCTAACAAAATTCACCCAAATAAAAGAAAACTAACACCAAAAGAGAAACCCAATTAATCCCACAATAAAAACCACCCAGAGAAAACCAGAAAAACTCTAATTTAAATTTTCTGGCTCCGATACCATTTCAATGATACTGAATACCTCTCAACAAGAGAGTTTCCTCTATTAAATAGAAACTCCAGAGCATAATACAGACTAAAAAATCTGCTAATTACAGCTCCCAATCTATCTAAATATGGAATGCAATATTCCCTACTAATTACAAATATTGACAGTTAATAGACAATAAACATATATAGTAAATATGGATAGATATGTGCTGGTAATGACAACATACATATCCCATATCCCAGTGACAGGGTTAAAGTTAATTTTCAACCGGATTGTGATAAAATTTGAATAAAATTTTCAATGCATTTTTTACTTACCAAACATAAAATATATGAGCTCCACAAATTTTTTTATTCTATCATATCAGAGTTATCTCTTTTAACCCACGATCCAAACATACCCTACATCCTTGATTCTTTGTTAGTACTAGTACATCTGAAAATTCTTTATGCAAAAAATGAGCATAACTGGTACCTGTCTTGACATTCAAGATATAAGATAAGTCTCAGGAATACATAATGTTATGTTTCTCAAATTGTATTCCAAAAGATTCATCCCCAATGAGTTCACACCTTCACACACCGCACATTTTATAAAAAAAACTGATTTAGGGGCCCATAGTGTGTCATGTGAAAGGCAAAAGTGCCCAACAGAGAACTAATGTATTGGTATCCATAGTAATACAAACTTTTCAGTTGCTGAATCATAAAGCTCCCGATTAAGGAATATGCATATATATTTCAACCTTGATTTTGCCCAATTATCTGCACCAGACAACAATATCAAAGAGAATGCCTACCATGCCAGTTGACTCAAAATGAGAGAAGATCCTACATTCAGAGCATCTTAACATGATTCTTTTCCTCTGCAAAAGAGAGAAGAAAAAAGAAGAGACATCGAGAACTTGTTCTACATGGAATTCCAAAATCCACATTCATTACACATGGCATTGGTGTTGAATAAACGAAGCATGTGTTTTATTACAGAAGTAAAGCTTCTCCATGAGTAGTATATTTAGATTGTGGTTTCTCTTTTCTAAGGTGAGTTCTCTGACTTTGATCAGCTATGCCTGACCGTCTTTTCCCTTGGAGATCTTTCCTACTATCAGCAGCTACAGTTAACTGTCCTCTTGTGTCTACAGGACTTCCGAAGACAATGGGCCTTGGGGTAACCTTACATTGGGTGTGTCTGTGCTGACACAAATTATGATTTTTCAAGCCCGAAAGTACTTCTCTTGTCCTGTTTTTGCTTCCAATCACCCCATCATTATCTGGATACAAAATCATCAAATGTTTTCAGCTAGCATCCTTAACTATGAAACAAGCATGTAGAATTCATCATACTGAATGTAAATGAACATAGATTCTTTGAAAGCAGGAGTCAACAGCAGTCAAAGGTCATTGATACGGCTTTTTATTTCATACTTTCTTTCTGCTTGTTGATTATTTGGTAAACAATAAAAGGATCCAACATCACCTTTTTTCTGTAGCTCAGTTTTGAATCCTTGATGATTGGGTCTTCTTATGAGGCTGATATACATTGCGGGTTCATTCTTTAACAACTTAAGATTTTGGTGTACTGGACAGCATGACATGGTACCATAGCTATGGTTGTTTGAGGTCTTGTGTTCAAGTCGAACAGGCAGTGTCAGGCAACCCACGTGTTTGTGTGTGTTGATGCACCATTTTTATGTTTCATCTGTGCATATTGCTGAACTAGGATACATGTTTAATCCATGTATGAGCATGGATCATGAGTGAGGGGGATGTTAAGAGCTTGATTTACATTGTGAGCCTATTCTCTAACAATTAAAGCTTTAGAGAAATTGGTAGTCTAATACCTGTCCCAGCACTTGAACCATACCATCACACGAACAAAATTGCTGCACTATGATGCCATTGCCAATTAAAATGAGTGTCATATTTCTCCACATGATTGAAAATAATGATACTCCAAATTATGAAGTTCTAATTGAGACTTCCATCTAAGTGATTCACTACAAACAAAGATTTGCAAAAAGAAGACACAATATATCAAATGCACTTGGGAGAGGTAAAATGATATTGAAGTACCAGGACTAGACAAGACAGCACGTGGTCGGGGGACTGAACTAGCCCTGATATTTGGCTTGTTATCCCCTACAACTTTTTTGTTGTTGCTCTTTCCTGCTCCTGTTGATCAAAAGAGTGCAACTAATTAAGGGGCATTATTAGCACCAGGAAATCATATTGGTAAGAAAATTTGAACCTTTGGATGCCGGAACTGTGGGCATGGCTGAATTTGAGATATTAGACCCTGAAATTCTCACAATGGATGGTGGATCTTCGCACTCCCAAGCTGTAGATAAAAAAATACATTATTATCGAAATATATAGGATACTAGAAACTATGAACTGAAATTTATCCCTTTATATAAACTTTATGCATTGTTATAGGGTTCCAGAAATTCTGATACTACGGCAGTTATATTGCTGTGGGAATTGCAAAATACCCCAAAATATAATTGCCTTTATCAAGGGTGTCAGCATGAAATTCCTTTTTTTCTTTATTTTTTTGCTATTTGGGTAATATCCCGGCACAAACTGACCATATAAACATTCCTTGCTACAGGTTTGGTTACAACAAAATCAAGGCAACAAGTTCAACATAATTCAGTTCTCCTACAAGTATATTCAAAATATCCATGTATCCCCTTGTATGTGTTTATCAAAAAAAAGTCAGCCTAGAAGGATGCAAAAGAAATGAAGCAGCTTATAAGTTTGTGATACCGAGTGTGGAATATAATGTTGCTGACAAATAAGTTAAATTCTTTTATGTGGAAATTGGCAAATAAAAAGGTATTCCAGTGATTATGGCTCATAAGGGAAGATGTATGTACTGCACTGAAATTCCGGCACAGTACTAATATTGCTAAGGACCAATCATCTCATCTATACATACCTAGTGACTTCGCTAAAACTGTATGGAGTTTCTAACAACTGCTTTTGGATTTCTATACACTAAAGAGGAGAACTTCTTGCTTCTTGATTGTGGGTTAAATCTGAGCAATTTCGTGATGGTACTATTGCTTCTTAATTTCTCTGAAATTAAGGATGGAAAGTAATGTGAAAGCGATAAATGATCCTTCGATATCATGGATAAACTCCCAATGCAATGCTCAATATTGCTTTTCTTTCTATCCATCTTTGTTTTCTTTTCTTGTACCAATAAGAATTGAACCCTAATTCCACCCCTGGCCTTAATTTGGATGCCATGCCAACAAAATTTTTTGCTGTGCTAAAACAGCTATGGTGAGACACAGTACATGAAATCATAACCTCATTCGCAAAAAGATAAACGGAGGACAGAGCAAACTATACTAAAGCGCGCGTGCATGCTGCAGGAGTGAAAATCTCCATTAGCTTGCCATGGACAACCTTGAGAAATATCCAACATTGAATAACTTGTTCCCCAACGAAGAAACAAATAGGAGATATCACGCGAACCATATGTTTAGATTTTCCACTTTGCAAAGGATTTCGTTGTGGGACATGGAAGTGAAAGGGCTGGGAATTGAGAGATGGATATATATATATATATATATATATATATATATATATATATATATATATATATATATATAAAGAGAGAGAGAGAGAGATGTTTACACCAAAGTTTGTGGCAGACTAACTAGGAGAAAAATGAATATAATGTATAGAACAGAAGAATGTGCACAAATAAAACAGATATCAGACTTTATTGGCAAAAATGTCGCACGTCACGCAATTATGTGTTTCTTCACAAGCCCTGTAAATTGGGAAGCACAAAGTTTATTAATATTTTTGGGTCAAGGATTCAATTTAGGGCTTATATGAGAAGAAAATACCCTCAACTGTCAAGCAAGTGGTGATAAAGGATTTATGTAACCATGGGTTTTAACTAAAGGGGGGAAACTGACAAAGGATGGGAAAGCTGGAAAATGAAGTATCCAACAAACTAAGATTATTCAAGCTGTTGAAGAAGCAAAAGATGGATAGAATTTTCCATTGCACCATTTTAATTTTCGATTGCCATGGAATCCAAAGAATGCTGAACTAAAATTCAAACTTGGATTTCCCCAATACATCTTATAGTGCCATTCTCTTTGACTTTTGGGAGTGACTGGAACACCACCAAATCGATGCAGATAAGGACTGAAAGGAGATTGCTTTCACTTACTCAGTGACAGAATGCCAGAATCCAAGTTTTAGTTATTCAGTAAAGCAAATTGTTAACAAATACTATAAACAGTTATCCTGATGATGACGATGGTGATAATGACATTATCAATTATATATGGTTTTTTTATGAGGGCCTTGTTGACATGAATTGAATTGCATATTACCAACTGCAACAAACATCAGTACACACAGCAAAAATTGAATTCCAAATACCCATATATGTCTTTTTTTTTTTTTGGTCAGCACTTTTAAAGGAGACTAACCCGCAATGGTCCAAATGCGGGCGGTGGCTATTAGGTCAACCGTTAACCTCCCATATATGTCATCTCATCAACAATAACAATCAGTTCATCAGAACAAAATACCAGTGAACAAACCCCCTTTCCCCAAAAACATTAAATTTGTCAGAGGGATGGTAGATTTCATCTATCTTTCCAGCAAAATAACTCATTTTTTCAAACTTCAACGTCTTATTAGATCCATATAAGAATAGCAATACATGGCCATATGGGTTTAATTCAAAGAAAGCAATAAGACCCAAGAAAATAACTAAAAAACAAAACAAACATGTACCCGGAGAAGGAAATTCATGTATGGAGAGAGATTCAAAACCCTTTGAGGACTGCAAAGAACTTTCATAACCAAACTGATCGTCTTCTTCTTGGTCCCTCACTTTCACCTTTGGATACACTTGATCAAAAAATCAAACACCAAAAATAATCAGAACCCATTTCTGATCATCCAAAATCACAAACATATTAAAAGCAGAAAAACTAAACAAAAAGTAAAACACAGAAAACCAAGAACAAGATCAAGAACTCACTGTTTTTTTTTGCCTTTTGACGGTGTTAATTATCTAGAGAATAATTATATGAAGCTAGTTTAGAATCTGGGTCTCAGATTATTGAATAAGAGAGAATAGAAACACCAAAAACGTGTGTTCTTCGTGTGAATATTCAATGGTGCAATGAATGATTCTGGGTACCCAAAATTTTAGAGAAGTTGTTTTTTGCTGACTTGAATAGGACTGTGGACGGCACTCATATGAGGTCAAAGATATGCCGCTCTTGTGGGTCCTAGTGGAACACTTTCGGTAAGCTCTCAGATACACAATCAGATACGTTTTCAAAAACGAAAGGGTCAACGGTTTCGTTTCGTTTCCCCTCTCTCCCCCCCCCCCCCTTTCTTTTTCTTTTTCTTCCTATTTTCAGTAATGTTATTTGAGCTTAATGTTATATGACATTTGTTCTTTTTTCTCCAACTAGATTTGATTAATCAACAATTTATAGAATTTAGTTTTATTTTGGGGGCTAAACATGTTCACAAGTTGGGCTCGAGTTGAAATTACTTGAATTGGGTTGAGCTTCGATTGAATAATTTATATCATTTTTTATATATTTTTGATAACATGAGAATCTCATTTCAATTAAGCTCATTTGAACTTGTAGCTTGGTTAACAAGAATATCAAATACACATTGGGTTGTGAAATAGACAATCAAGGATATGTTTTCTCTTGGTTGGATGTGTTGGCCTAGTGAAGTTTTAGAAATGATGTGTGAAAAGGAAGCACATGAGAGAGTAGGATGATTTTGACTCATGTATTTTACTTTACTGTAGGGTGCTTTCTTTTGATATTTGTTTTTCTGTTAAAATAATTTGTAATTGCATTGATTCTTGTAAACTTCATTTTTTTTAAATAATAGAAATATAATCTGATTGACAACCAAAAAAAAAAGAACTTGTAGCCGGTAGTTAACTTGGGTTTACGCACAAAACCACAATTACCGGAGTTAAATCTAGAGAAGTGATCCTACGAAGTAGTTTTACCCAGTGAAATATTGAATCCTCGACCAATACCAACTTAAGACATTTATAAAATGGCCGACTATCACTTGAACTGACCCTTGAGGGTTGAAAGTTTTATATCTTAAGTTGAATAAAATGATTGGTTTGATTGAATTAGGTCAAAAGTTTTTAAAAAAATTATTAAGTTTTTATAAAATCTGTTGAATTTAAATTTTTGGATCAAATTAAATATCCAGTTATTAAAGAATGTGGATATAAATTAAAATTTATCTATAGAGTAAATAGATCGAAATCGAAACTCAGTTTTTTTTATTAAATTTGAATGTGGGATAAATCAAGATATAATCCAGATCCGATCCGTTAATGGCCCTCTCGTGGGTGATGGGGTTGGAGACGGTTCTTTCTGTAATGTGCTTGTTTGGCAAGAGGACCAGCAAAAATCTTATACTGGATTTTAGCCAATCGAGGACAAACCAACTCCTGCGTTAGGATACATATATGTTGCTTTCGGTATTCTCGAGAAGGGAAAATATTCGGTACTTATCGTGTATTAGGCTGTCGATAACAGATATTCGTCACCGATTAATGGATATTATTATAAGATAAAAAAATTAAAGAACGATTGAAGTGACGGTTCTTGATTAGTGAGGGGGTACCGACTGTCGTTGACAGCCTCGTACCTGAAAAACACCGAATATTTTCACGATCCTAGGGTTTTTGCTAGGGTTTTTCTTCGGAATTGGGAAGCATTAGGATTTTATAGCAATGTTTCACAGAGCTAAATCGAGCTTAGCATCGAATCTCCGGCGATTTTCCTCAATGGTTCGTCGTCATATTGAAGACGAAGGTGACTGGTTTTACTCCCAAGAATGGTGGGGAAGCGATGGCCACACTGTCTTCCGATCAATTTCCGACAAGGGAAACGGTGTCGTCTCGGTCATAGCTTATCCTTCTTCCAGACCAGTTCAGTCCCTCCCCCCCTCACTCTTTATACAAACGTATCCATATGTCTGTATATATGCGTGCGTGTGTGTGTATATGTGTGAATATGTTTTATATTGATCTGTGTGTATATATTTGTGTATCTATATATATGCGTGTATATGTGGACCTGGTTGCTAATTGATTGAATGAATTTTTGGTGGTATATGTGCGGATAGAGATGTGAAAGCATTGCCAATGAGCAGTTGAGTTTACTGATTTTTTTCTCTCTCTCTCTCTTTTTTTTTTCATGTTTGTGTGGTGATACTACTACAATCCTTCATTTGAGAAGCAGTATGTTTTGATGAAAATTAGAGTAGTAATTGCTCCGGCGCTGTGAGTACTAATTTTTATATTAATTTTTTGGAACTTCTGACTGTTGTTTTCAATTGTGTAATTATTTTTAGAGGTGGCGTTTTCAGAAATTGCCAACTATGGTTTTTATGACAAGCAATACAATGCATTAGTGGTTTGTCCGTTTTTTCTTTTAGATTCCAAGTGGCAGTAAACCTGATGTTCAAAAAGCTGTGAAGCGAGAAACTTTTGGTAGGAATCACTTTAAGTAGAGCATGGTTGTGAATATAGATATGGATTTAGAAATTGCTCTAAATATTATTCAGCTATTATTAGAAAATTTTGAAATACCACCTACCAACAAGCTTTTATGTGAAATACACTGATTTCTTGGTGTTGACTTCATGCAAGGATTTATTCAAAATCCCGAATCTGCCTCATAAAACTTTTCTGATTGATGGAGTTTGCATTACACACTGCCAAAGCTCAAGTCTACAAATCCAAGTTTGAACCTAGACCATAATCACCAAGACCGAGGCCATACAGCAGGTCAGAAATTGGAATTGCTGAAAGCTTCGTGTTCCAAATTTATCATTGTTACTAGTGATGTTGCTTAAACTTTATGATCAATTGTGTCATCACAAAATTAGATAGGTTATAAGGTGCCCCAAGTTGACGTATAACCACAGGTGTTTGTGAAGTCGTGAACCCATGGTGAAATATATACACGCTTGCATTGTGCACATCAATATTGTATTCTTAAAAATAGAGGCAGTTCCTTTGCCATGGTGCTGATATAACCTTAACGGTTATACCCTGTTGATCAAGAAATATAATTATTTTGTCTCAGATTTCTCTGGAACAAAACAGAGTTGAGCATTGAAGTACGTAGGAAACTAGTTAATTATTGAAACATTTATTTTGTATAGACACTAAAAAAAAGTTGCATAGAATAATGGGAGAGCATTTGCTCCTTGTGAAACTTATTCATTGGGTTTGTTAAATCTGGTGTTAACATTTAACTGACTACACAAATAAAAATTGTTGCATATTATCAATAACTTATTTCGGTATTGGGTAACCTATTATCTACTATTTCATTACTTATTCATTGGGTTTGTTAAGTCATAAGTGTGGTCTTGATTCATTCGTTTTGTTCTAGAAAACTTTGAAAGAGGTCTATTCATTATTGTCGCTAAAGACCACTCTCCCCCTCCCGTCTCTTTGCCCCAATCTCTTCCATCTCTGCGTCGCTCATTGTCACCTATGTTGAAGAAAGGTTTGGAACCCTATAGAGAATAAAGAGGGGTCAAGGATCTTCCTCTCAACAGTGCTTCTCAAGGCTCCATAGTCCATCCTCCCCCCTGAATAAGTAAGGCCCCCTTGGCTGCAAATTTCTGGATCACCCGGTAAGAATGTGTAGAAAAACCAAAATAGAATTGTTCCGCCTATGCAAAACTAAGAGGGGATGCCGCCTATTACTAAACTGCTGCAAACATTGACTTTTCCCACACAAATTTATTTTGTTATTTTGAGGTTTTATACCAAATTTTCAATTTTATCTTACTTGATAAATTCTGACTTTCAAGTTTACTGCTGTCGTTGTGGCAGTAAACATTTCTTAAAACTCATAGATTGTTAGTGTCTTAAGTCATCAGCAATTAGTTGACATTTTTGTTCTGTATTGCAGAGTCAGATTTACTGGCCTCAAACACAGAAATGGCTTCAGCAAAGGTATGCAGAGTTACATGCAGGTCATGAACAGAATGGCCATTTCAGGATTCTAGGTTATCAATGGCGCACTCTTCGCTTTAATGATAATACTCGCCAAAGCACAGTTAAAATAATGGCTGCTTATAGGGAATCGGAACCTGGATCTCTATGCTTTATGCAGCAGGCTCATTGTCTGGCTGTTCCATGTAAATTCCATCACATCTTTTTGTCTTTTTTTTGCAACTCCTAAACTATATTATTACCATAGGAAATTGTATTTTTACACTTTTGTTTTCAGCAATGTAAAAGTCCATTACTTAGAGTTGCTCTTGTCAATTGAGATTATTGGGATGGATACATACCCAACATTTGGCTTTGTTTGCGCAAAGTGCCTACATCAACCTTGAAACCTTGTACTGCATCACAACCTAAACTTTTACCACTGCACCAAGCAATGACTTCTCATTCTTGTGGATCTTGTTTTTACATCATCATCCTAGTAAGCTTCTTGAATTAGCATGATGAACTATGTTGGTAGTATAGTCTCCATCTTCTGTAACATTTTGGTTTTGATGAGGACCATGAGGTTATCCAGGTGGAATCAGCAGATCTTCCTGTGCATTTAAGGTGATTAAATCATCTATTTGTTCAAGGTCTATTATTGAAGGAGATAGCTTTATTGTTTTTGAAGCTATTTGCCATGGAGGCCCTTTCAAGCAGTTTAAATGTTAGGAGAACCAACATTTTTTAGATCTTTGGACTTGTCTTATTTTCTTTTGATTTCCTTCTTTTCTTAAGGAAGAAGTCTTGTATCACCCCCTTTCTATTCCCCTTCAACTTTCCGAACAAGTTAGTTCTCATAAGCAAGGAAAACATGTCGAAAGACTAATCAAATTTGTCGTATAACTTAAGATGTTAAATTTGGACATTTTTTTCACGGTATTGCACTTCCTTGTGTACCTTGAAAGATATTCCATTGGTTACTATATAGGGGTTAGACTCATTTGAAATATGTAGATATGTACAACCTCCCCAAGAGGTCTCCCTGTTGTGGTTAGGTGTTCTTGACGGCTAGATGTGTTTGAGGTGTCAAAAACATATATATACCTTGGGAACCATTTTTTACCTTCTTGAATAAATGAGGTCTTGGTGCCTTGTTGAGTTAAGAGATGAGTGTCTTATCTTTGATAGTAATATCTCCCAGTTGTTATATGCTTTGTTTGTTGAGCTTGTAAGATCTTTTGCCTCAGTAGTTGTCATCAATTGCATGCATTAGATATTCCTAGACCAATTGATCAGGTTCTGTACCCTGTTGCTTAAATGTTATCTTCATAGAGTTGTCTCTGATCTTCTTTTGCAGATGTCAAGAGTATGATATCTGTTGGGTTGGCTAGCATAGCATCTTGTAATTATGATCTCAAGGATGCTATGCTTGGGAAGAGAAGTATGAATATTCTGTGCATCGGTCATGGAGGGGGAAGCTTGCCACTATTTTTAGCTTCCAAGATTCAAGGTTAGAGAACTGGAATTTCCTTTTTCATATGTTCTTTCACATTTCAGTTGTATGTCAATCACAATCGGGATCAAATAATTCTTGGTTTCTGATTATATATTATTAGACAAGCTATGTGCCTGCTACACTTTTTAATTCTTAACAAAAAAAGTCCTATTTCAATAAAATCGATGTGTTGCTCTTTTTGTACATCTGCACTATTGAGGAGGAATCTGACATGATATTTCATTTATTTTAATCAAAATTAAAGTTGAGCTGGATTAGATTTATGATAAAACATCGGATTACCTCACTAGCAAATTAATGAATGGGGCTGACAATTTGACAGCAATCTAAGAGTAGATTGAACGCAGCATTAGAGACAAATATTTGAATAATCATTGAGAAACAAACCCTAATTTTTGCGTTGACAAGGGAGAAAGGAAATTTCATTTTGCCACTATATGTGCAGATATCCATGTAGAAAGTATTTAGTGAACTTTTGAAAGACGGTAACATAAGACAATGTACAGGGTGTGTTTTCTTTAGGTATTAAGAAAGAGGGATTGGAAAAAATAATGTATGGGCCCATCTTATTCCACTTATACCCATATTTGGATACACATTTTGGGTCCGGTATTATCACCTTTCAATAGTCAAGGCCCGGATGAATAATGATTTATAGCCACATACACCTTCTTAAATAAACCCACCAATTTGATTGGTTTAACTAATTCAGTTGGGGTGTGTTTGGGCAAAGACATTTTTACCCTTGAGAATCTGTAGGATATAAATATTTTGGGAGTTCTTTAGTAATTTAATGTTTATACAGTCATTCAATACTCCATCCAAATAAAGTGTTGGATGGGATAAATGTGGGATCTACTACTTTTTAATACCTGAACCAAACATAGGATGAGGAGGCATAAATTTTAAATTTGTCTTTCTTCCCAAGCTGGATGGGTATGGAATGGATGGGGTTTTCCTCCGATACATCCTAATACCTAATCCAAACACACTCTGAAGGGTTGTTGGCACTAAAGGAGGAGAGTGAAATCAACAATGTGTAACTGCTTGGGCATTGAATGTTCTATCGCTGCAAAATGAAGCAAATTTAACTGGATTTTATGGCCAAAAAAAAAAATAGCGAATTGCTCATTGCATGAGAGTTCTGACTGTCATCTGCTCAGCTGCACATTGGTGTTTCTTCTAAAATGCGTTTTATGCAGTCCTAATGTTAACGTTATCTGCTTGCATGGAAATCTGAAGTACATGGTGGAGAGGAAATTATTGCATGATTTGGTGTGACCCATAGTTCACATAGAATGTGAAATCAATATTTCAATGTCATTATCACCATTGTTATTATTGCATCCAAAGATTGCAATCTTTTTAATTTTCCGCCACATGAGTGTTTTATGTATGCCTTGAAGTTTTGTTGGATCTCGACTGCTGTTGTTGGAATTTGATTTACTTTTATTTCCAAAACCAAATGCCTAATTAGTAAGATTTGTCAATTTGACATCATGCTCTCTTCAGGTGCTATTGTTCACATTGTTGAAATTGACCCCATCGTTATATCAGCCTCAATCCAAGCAATGGGGTTCCCATCTTTCTCAGTTGTGGCCCCATCTGGTGGGCGTCTACACCCAAAACCCAATCGTATTGATGAGGTACTGTGGAAAGGCATTCATGAGAGGCTCCTCCTATATGAATCTGATGCTGAGAAGTTCATTCTTGACACGAACAATCTTTATGACATGATCTTCATTGATGCCTATGATGGCGAAGACATTTTTCCTTACAAGTTGTGGGATCCAGATTCTGCATTTCTCAAAGCTCTAGGTAACCGGCTTCACCCTGAGCATGGAACGGTTGTGGTGAACCTTCACTCAGATGCTGATATCTTGGATGTTGATGGTTCTGTCCCATCTGTTCTTCACCAGCTTCTGCCGATGGGGAAGTATGTTTCTGGAATAGGCAGAGCATACAAGGATGTTTTGTTGGGAAATGAGAGTTCCACTCCTTTGGCTTATACTGTTTCTGTGCCTTGGGTGTGTAATACATCTCTTGTTGTGTGTAGAGGTTTTGGGAACACAAATGGGAGTCTTGACAGAGATATGGTTCTGAACACTCTTATATCCAAATCATTTGAAGTTGAGAATGCCCTTAGCTTGCCATTCTCATGTATGCAGTATATAAAGAGAGGGTTTATTCTTGTTGATTAATCATTGAAGAATTGATTGTCTGCTCTTTTGCCACTTAGGGTCCTCTATTATTTTGACCTTTTTGGTTGAAATCAAATCATTATCAAATCAACATTCAATTAATAGGGGAGGCGCATCCTTGTATGCTCCCTAATATGACCTTCTTACAACTAGACTCCATAGTATAGATATTCATTCAGAGTTTTTTTGTCAGGAAAAGGGCAGGCCCAACCGGTAGGTAGTAATTTCCTGGGTGTGATTATGAGGGCCTTTTATTATGGAATGTTCGGTTTAAGTCACAATTACTAATTCAGTATGAAAACACATTATCACATCAACATCACAATCAAGTAGTAATTTACGTTATTTTTGTGAATCTAACTCTGCTTTATGATCCATATTTAATGGATCTTATTTTGACCAAGTTTCATTTTGATTTACAAACTTTATTTACCTTACATTTTGTCCTCAAATATTGGCAAGGGAATCTATTTGCCCCTTCCCCATGAAATATAGGTATGAGCCAATTAAAAAAAGAAATAGAAAACAAGCCGATCTCTAATTGCGCGGCGGGGTGGTGGAGGAGAAGGACAAAATTACAAAAAAAAAATAAAAAAAATCCAAACTTGAGTTTCTTTTTTTCTAATCAGAAAGCTTGATTCAATTTTGTATTAAATGCATGGAGTAGTGAGACCTTTGGTAGTTGTTGCATATATTCGTTGACTACTTTATGCATGAATCAGTTTAACTTACTACACACTAAACTTGAATCACAGTTTCAACCTTATTAGATATCAATTCACGATTTTTTATCGCAATAAATTTTATAGAGATTCAAATATTCTTTACAATGCCACAATAATCAACTAAATATAAGATCAAGTGTCAATTTTTTATCATACAATACCCCTGACATCATATTAAAAGTCCCAAAAAAATTTGGTGAATAGTTGCATTATTATGAAGGAATCCATTTTAGCATATCTGACATTATTTCATGAGTAATACTATCGGATTTAATTTGGGGATTTAATTTAATATAATTATTAGATTAATTGTGAGTTTTATTTTTAAATGAAAAACCTATTTTCATTCTAATTTTTACATTCAATTAAGTTTTAAAATTAGGTCCGCATCGAAATAGCATTTTCCTTACTTATTTCATAATAGCTACTAAGCTATTGTCTTCTTTTCAGGTGGATCGACATTCACAATGGCCACCGCTACAGCGGCCACGAAAAAGGTTGTGGCACTTTAGTCTGCACACCAAAACGTTACAGCTGTCGGCCACCACTTCATCAGTTCCTGCTCTGCCCGCCTGTGAAAATGGAGTACCTGCCAGCAATTTCTTAGTTAGTTTCCTGCACGAGAGAGAGAGAACATAAGAGAAGAAGAAGGGGAGTTGCGAGTCTTAGAGTTCACGTTGAGATTTAGTGATTGACCGTTATACTAATCTAATTAAATTTCATGAGCCCATCAGAACCTATTAGAGCGGTCTCTGGGTACTTTTCTTTGTCCCACCCCTTTGTTTTCTCAGCAAGAGGGAGAGAGAGAGAGCAACCATAAGCAGTAAGCAGGAGGACAACCAAGAGCACCATCTGTAATGTAGCCTTCTCCATGTCTTTCAGTTCACTAGTATAAAATTGTTTCTCAAACTACTGAGTTTGTAGGTATAAATACCCATACACAACCCCCCCCCCCCCCCCCCCCACTCCACCAAAAAAAAAAAACCCACACACACTCATTCCAGCATTTCCACCTACCCAGCCCATATAAGATTTGAATATTAATTAAAAAAGGATGAGATTCGATAATTAATTTCAATCTAATTTGGTATAGTGGTAATAATTTATCAACCATTTTATCTAAAGTTGGAAAATTTGAGTGTCAATTATTCTAATACCAACCTCATATTTGGATGAGAGATTACCATGTGGTATTAAAATAAAAAAGAAAAAAAAACATCTTACATTAATGCATAATTCGTTAACCTATATTAGGATATGCTAGTTATTTTACATATTAATATTAAGCATGTCTCATTTAATATCACTAATTATACGACATTGGTTCATACTAAGTATGGGATTTTATACGACACTTTAGTATCAGACTGATACAAAAAAATATTTATAAACATCGGGTCTTGTTAACTTAATCCAAACACCATTATAATAGTCTATTTATTCCTATCTATATTTAAATTTGATTTCCTAAACTTTAAAATGGAAATATCTAATCCATGAATTATTATATTTAAAGACACATGGTATAATCAATTTCATTAAGTAGCCCATTAGTTGCTTGTTTCAAAGACACCCCCTATTTTGAGAGGAAAAATTCATTAATTTTTTTTGAATAATTTTGTACATGGGGAGAGGGTGAGTGTGGTTCGAACCCACGACATTTAGATCCACTGGCCAGTTGAATCTTTACAAAATTTATTATTTAACTAATGAGTTACTAAGTTTAGAGAGGCATTGCAAAACCATTTGAGTAACTACAATATAAATTTTAAATTTGGTTTCCTAAATTTTTGAAAAAGGAAAATTCTCATTAATTAAATCTTAAATTATTAAAATCAAAACCATGTAACGTATCCCTATCAAAAGAAATATTTAAATGGAAAAACAAGTGACACGTGTAAAGTTTTTTTATTTATTAGTTTTAGGGATTTTCTTATTCTTATTTTATACCGCAAAAGATTTTTTTTTTCTACATTGCATCCTGAATATCATATATTGGTTATAACGTGACCCTCAGACTAATATTCATTTCAAATTATGTTTAAAATTAATGTACATGTCACCCAAAGATATGAATAGTAAGTTTATATTTTTGCCCAAGAACAACACACGTGGGTCATGCACATCAATTTTTAATGGAATCCAAAACAGATGTTAGTCCGAGGGCCATATTGGTACCAATTTATGACATCCTGGATATAATATGAGAAAAATAATCTTTTAGGGTGTAAACTGAGAATCGAAACATCTTTCGGGTATAAAGTGCAAAAAATCCTTAGTTTTATTTTCTTTGAATTTTTTTCATGATAAATAGTTACAAATAAACTAATTGAATATCTCTGATCACAAATTATTTTTCAATATATTACCGAATTTGTTTTTGTGCTCAAACTTTCTCAACTTAGCTCAACACCAACAACACACAACTTGAACATAATTCAGAGAATTAGTGTGTTGTTGCCATCGGATAATGAGCAACGATCGCATATCCTCCTTTGAGATATGTAACATTGTAGCTCGTCGACGGACTTGACCATGATATCGGAAAAAAATTTGGTATTGTACCTCTAAAATTTATTATTTTAATGGGTATTTTTATAATTTTTGTGGGTCATTTTATAAGAAAAAATTTATTATTTTTGTAAGTATTTTTACCTCTGTTGTGATAATTATTATTATCACTTTTTTTCGATGCAAAAAAAAAAATTATCACATTTGTCGGTGTTTTTACCGCTATTGTTGTATAAAACTAGTGTTTTTTTTCACAACAGTAATAAAAATACATAAAAATGTAATAAATGTTGATACGGTACTATTTTTTTTTTCCCATAACGTAGAGTCGTCGTAGACAACTCCCTCCTTGACATGTCATAAAATGATATGGAATCTTTGAATTACTTCAAATGTGCTTCAAATATTTTCAGGTATACATTGAAGGATAGTTGATGTAAGTTGTAAAGAATACGAAGTTGTTTCTCTATTTTGTGCATGTGTGTATTTTTTGTATTCCGTCTTTTGTAAAGTTAAGTAATTATATATGATTATGATGATTTTGAGTATGGAATGATGGTTGTTTTGATGGTTTGGATATGTAGTAATGATTGTGGTGATATAGTGTATTATGATGATTGTATGTTTTGTAGACATGTTTAAATTTTTCTGGAGATCTATTTTTAAAGGAAACTCTGCCGAAATTTCTTGAAATTAGTAGGGACTAACTGGATGTTTTGGTGGTTGGATATGTGTTGATGACTGAGTATGCATTAATTATTGTGGTGGTATGATAAATTATGATAATTGTTATGTCTGATTGTAAGTTATTTTAGATTGCAAAGAGTCTTTAGATAATGTAATATTTTTCGAATTTTAATCTAATTTTTCGTCACGTCGTGCCTTCAAGCACAAACAATTACTAGTCTTATATAAAGTTGGAAAATTTGAGTGTCAATTATTCTAATACCAACTTTATAATTTGTTTAACCTATAAATATATTTCAGTCATTTTACACATTAATATTAAGTATGTCTCATTTAATATCACTAATTATACAACACTTTAGTGTCAGGCCAATACTAAAATATCTATAAAGATCGGGGGTCTTGTTAACTTGATCCAAACACCGTAGAAATAGTCTATTTTATTCTTATCTATATTTTCAACTTTTAAACACAAATTTAAATTTGATTTCCTAAACTTTAAAATGGAAATTTCTAATACATGAATTATTATATTTAAAGACACATGATATAATCAATTTCATTAAGTAGCCCATTAGTTGCTTGTTTCAAGACACCCCCTATTTAGAGAGTAAAAATTAATTAACTTTTTTTTTATTAGTTTTGTACATGGAGAGAGGTAGATGAGGTTCGAATATGTGACTTTTAAGTTCAAAGGCGGGCTGAGTCCTCAAAAAATTTATTAATTAACTAATGAGTTAGTAAATTTAGCGAGGCATGGCAAAACCATTTGAGTAACTACAATAGAAATTTTAAATTTGGTTTCCTAAATTTTTGAAAAAGGAAAATTCTCATTAATTAAATCTTAAATTATTAAAGTCAAAACCATATAAAATATCCCTGTCCTTTTTTTTTTGGAAGAGGGAATTTGAACCTTTGATCTCAAGAAGGTAAAGTCTTCCCAAAACCTATCAAAAAAAATATTTAAATGGAAAAACATGTGACATATGTAAAGTTCTTTTATTTATTAGTTTTAGGTAGTTTTGCATTTTGTACTCTAAAAGATGTCTCGATTTATATTTTACACCCCAAAAGATTATTTTTTCTACATTGCACCATGAATATCATAAATTAGTTTTAATGTGGTCCTCAGACTAATATCCGTTTCAAATTATGTTTAAAATAGATTTACATGCCACCAAAACATATGAATGGTAAGTTTACATTTTTGCCCAAGACTCGTACACCAATTTTTAATGGAATTTAAAACGAATGTTAGTTCGAGGGCTATATTGATTTATGACTTTTAAGGCATAATTTGAAAACAATAATCTTTTAAGGTGTAAAGTGAGAATCGAGACATCTTTCGAAATATAAAGTGTGAAAAACCTGTAATTTATTTTCTTTGAATTTTTTTTCATGATAAATAGTTACAAATAAACTAATTGAATATCTCTGATCACAAATTATTTTTTAATATATTACCGAATTTTTTTTTGTACCATAACTTTCTCAACTTAGCTCAACATTAACAGCACACAACTTGAACATAATTCAGAGAATTAGTGTTTTGTTGCCATCGGATAATGAGCCACGATCGCAGACCCTCCTTTGAGATATGTAACATTGTAGCTCGTTGACGGACTTGACTATGATATCGGAAAAAAAATTTGATATCGTATCTTTAAAATTTATTATTTTAATGAGTATTTTTATAATTTTTGTGAGTCATTTTATAATAAAAAAGTTTATTATTTTTGTGAGTATTTTTACATCTGTTGCGGTAACTATTTTTTACATTTTTTTTCAATGCAAAAAAAATTATCACATTTGTTAGTATTTTACCGCTATTGTCGTAAAAAAAATGTTTTTTTCACAACAGTAATAAAAATACTCATAAATATAATAAATGTAAGTACGGTACTATTTTTTTTTTTTTTGATAACGTAGACAACTTCCTCCTTGACATGTGTCATAAAATGATATGGAATCTTTGAATTACTTCAAATGTGCTTCATCCTTTCAGGTAGTCCTGGGGTTTAGGATTGAGGAGGCTTCACAAGCAAATTTACAACTATCTAGCTGAAGCAGTAAATCCAAACATGAAGAAATCTTTCTAAGTGTTTGTGTCCATAACTGTTCTGGCAATCTTCATCATGAACTGCCACCTCTTTTCTTCAACATAAGAACTCTTAATTCAATTACCACATTGCACAGGGTGAATTTTGAGCCTATTAACCAAAACAAGGTAGCTCAGTGGTGAGGTTAGCTTGGAGCAAACCATAAACTCGGGCATTTTGGGTTCGACTTTTGCTCGTGCCTCCAAATTTCCAGGTTTAACCGATACTTGGTGTAAAACGATTACAAGGATTCGGAGTTTACTTTGCAGGAATGGATACACTGTGCTCCTTGGAGAGTTTCCTTACACTCAAAGAAGAAAAAAAAAAAAAAACCTTTGGGGCTACTGTTGCAATCGATGGTTTGAATGTAGCTCTCTGCAAATAAGGTGCATGCCATTGCTAATCCAATTTTTGCAGTTTTCTTTCAGCATCCTGTGCAAGCAATCCATTTGTGGCACTCCAGAGATTTATAAAATCTTTGTAAACGATGCGTGCTTTCAATGGACACTAAAGCACATGAGAAAGGTATCAATCTTAAGGGAGCCATAACTGTTTTGCTTGCTGGCTATTAACTAGAATGGCATAAAAAAAAAATCAAAAAAACCAAAAGGACGAGGTACAGGGGCTTCAGAAGCCTGTGAAAAGGCACCCCATGTAAAAGCATTACAAAAATAAATTTATGTTAATTGGATCATTATTTCTTCAAGTAACTTTCACATACTAAATGACCAACAAGCTATGAATAGATCCCTCTCATGAGTAGTGTAACACATAAAAAAGAGTCTATACAAATTAACAACTTGAGGAATATATTATACCTCCATTACGTGGGGCAAGTTTCAAAAGTGTCACTTCTGACTCCTCTCCAAGTGCATCATCAAACTTGATGCTTTCTTATCACTGCATTGAAGGCATTACTGCGGTTTCTTTCGCATAAATGATAAAAATCTCCATAAGTACAAATTACAACTACCATCTAAAAACTTATAATCTGTTAACTGCTACCAATAATCTCCACAGGTACAACTACCATCCAAGAACCTATGGTATCTGTTAACATCCCTCACAAGAATCTCCCTTTCCACCACCCTGCTAAAATACTTGAAAGCCTCGTGACAGTCCCTACAAATCCTCAAATTCTTCACTATCCTCAAAGCCTTCCCTGGCGGTGCTGCCCCGCTCAACACCCCATATGCTAGTGCCAACTTCTCGCTGTGATACCAAAGTGCTTCCCTCTTCTCGCGTTCCTTCACCTCATGCAAAATCTCATCCCAAACTGGCACATACCCTAGTTTCTCAATCTCCTCCATTAACTCAGCTAACTTGGTATAAATTTCATCCGTCCTGCCATGAGTCTGATCACCTGCCAAAAAGATGTGGACCTGTCCATGCACTTCAATCCAACTACGCCCACCTTCCTTCCTCACCCTCCTGTCTTTCATCAACTTCCTCACTTCCTTGACCTCATCCATCCTACCCACAGCCGCAAACACATTCGCAACAATCACATAAGCTGAGTCATCATTTTGGTCAAGTTCCAACAATCTCTTACTCATCTTCCAGGCCATATCTGCCTCACCATGGTATGCACAAGTTGACAACAACACCCGCCACACTGCTGCATCAGGCTCAAAAGGCATTGCCAAAGCAATCTTCTCTGCATCCACCAACCTCCCAACTCTTCCCAATGCACCAACCAAACAAGTATAATGTTCAATCCATGGCTCCAACCCATAATCCACTTTCATGCTTGTCAGCCACCTCTCAACCTCCTCAGCCAAACCTGCATTGTAAAACACAGTCAAAACAGCTAAAAAGCTATATGCATCTGGTACAAGCCCTCCACCCTCCATCAATCCAAAAAGCTCTATAACTGCACCCTTATCTCCTTGTTGTGCGTACGCTGCCATCATTGAATTCCACCCAATTAAATTCAACCAAGGCTTTAATTCATCAAACACCCTTCTAGCCTCCACCACAAGCCCACACTTGCCATACCCATCAATCAACGCACTCCCCACAATCACATTCAAATCCAACCCTACAACCACCGCATGCCCATGAATTATCCTACATTGTTCCAAAGCCGCAAGCTCCGACACTGCACTAAACGCGCCGGACACACTATACATATTCGACATCAGATCAAACCTCCTCATATTCGCAAAATACTCCAACGCCTCAATGGGTTTCGCATTTTGAGCTAGACCTCCAATTACCGTCGAATAACAAACCTCATCTCTTTCAGACATTTCATCAAGCACTTTACATCCTTCATATGGAAAATGAGTTTTACAATAGAAACTCACTAGAGCTGAGGCAGTAAAGGGTTGAGCTGATAGAGAAAGCTTGATTGACAAAGAATGGAGTTGGAGGCCAAAGCAGAGAGAGGGTAAAGAAGCGCAAGTCTTGAGGAGGGAAGCTAAGGTACGTTGGTTGGGAAGAGTTGGGTGGCGGAGCATAGAAACAAAATGGTGGAGAGAGAGTAGGGAGTTGGAGTATGCGGAGATGAGGGCAGTCCATGAGACAACATTGGGAGATGGGATTGTGCGGAAGAGATTGAGGGCGTCGGAGAGGAGGTTTGATTTGGAGTAGAGGGTGATGAGGGTGTTGAGGAGAGAACGGTCTGTGGTGGCTGTTTTGATGGCCTGGGCGTGTATGCGGCGTGGGTTGGTGTGTGTGTGTTCAAGTGAACTCATGTTGGAGCTGATAGGACAGTTAAAGGTGGTTCTTATAAGAGGCTCTAGCTATATCTATATTCTTATAAAATTTGATTGATATTAGTCAATTTTGATCAAATCAAATGGATGGATGTTTAACCATCCATCGTTGGGATGGATATTGTGATTTTAGAGAGTGAAATTATTGGATTTTTCATCGGCTAGGTTAAAGATGAAAGATGCCGATTTATCAAAATTGATGATATATCTATCACTTAAATTGTACAAGAGAGGTATATTTGTATCTATTAGAGTTGGACGACCAATTTGTATATTTGTTGCCTTGATGGTAACCAATACACAACACACTCATTAGTATAAGATTAGTGCAAAGTCAATATGTAATGTTGCATATGTTATTGGGTAATTCATAGGTTTTAGATTCAATTTTTTTTCATACCAACACCTAAAAACTAGTCACTTTTGTCCCGATGGGGATATGTTCTAGACCAATTCAAGAGACATGTTCAAGTTATGGTGACTAACCGTTGAGCTCGAGAAAGTAATCAGTGCAAGTCTAGATACTCAATAATAAAAAAAAAATGGTTAATTAAATTTTTGTACTACAAACTTGTGACAGCGAGGTTACTTGGGAGAATTCAACCCATTGGGCAGTTACACTATCCTAGTTTGAATAAATGTGATATATTGTGCATGGTTGTCTTTATTTTTGAAGCTCAATAAGAACTCCCAAGTTCCAACTCATGACTAATAGCAAGTTGAATTTGCACCCGACTTTAGAAGTTGGGAGTAACCTCATTCATGTGATGAGAATCGAGTGATTAAGATTTGACCAACTCAGTAAAACATTAAAACAATAAGTACTGAAGTGGTCAAATTCTAAATCTTCGATTTTTGTCATAAGGTTATGATAAGGTAAATTCCACTCTGAGGTCCGATTCAACTTTAAACAACAATGTCATGCACACTATTTTTTTATACCATTTTTGTATATCATTTGTACGGGTGATTTATTGTAATGAGTTGAGATAACGATCCGTTAAATGGTAAACTTGAAACAATCAATAAATTAGAGAAAGAGTCGGGTGAACACCCAGGTAATCTCTTTCAAAACTCAAGTCAATCGACATTAGAGACATTAACATAATATATTTTCTGGATTTAAATTGCGTACATTTATTCAACTTTCTGAGGAGTATTTATACTTGAATTAGTAATGATTGAAAAATTTTAAAGTCTCATCTCAATATTTAATGACTTGCACTCATACCCAAATATAATGAGTGCAATCCCATCAAATCTTCTCAAGAATAATCCCCTCGAGGGAGTGAATCTATGCTCGGGACCCTCCAAGCACTCATTGCCTATTCCCCGATCATTTAGTATATGTACTAGGGGCTTGACACCTATGCCCAAGCTCCTTGGATTTTGCTAAGAACATCGGGTCAGCGCAATAACAATTAATGCTTTGTAATGATTATTGTCTTTATAGGTCTTGAGGATCAAGAGACTCATTAATAATCCTATTATAATCACTCAAATCTTTATTAATGAACTGTCGTATCACTTTTAATGCTAGGTTTAACAGTGTGCATTCAGCTCTTCCAGGTCATAATTCCTCAACTCTTTTTCTTGGTAGCCTTTGCGCTCCATAACGATTATAACTAAAAACTTATTAAATTGGATCTGTTGAGCCGCCTAAAGTCTCATCACCATCTTAACATAAATCTTTAGATTAGTAAATTCGACAAAATTTATCAAATATTCAACGATTGTAATTATAGCTCATTAAGTACTATAAGTGAGGTGATAAAAAAATATAGTATAAATAGCATTATTCAACTTTATAGGATCCAAACTCAAAAGTTTGAAGAATTCAATGTAAGAAAAAGCTGAGCTAAATATGGCTCAGGTAGGACAACTTTTGTGATGGACACCCACAGGTTCATGACAAAGTCAATGCTATTCAACATAATGACACCAATGACCCAAAAACACAAACATAATGACACCATAAATTTATCAAGTGCCCAATTCTATAAGCCTACCCCCATAATAGAAGTGCAACAATTGTTTTCAGGAGAAGAATATGGTATCCAAATTTTTATGGTATCGTTTTTTTAAATTTTACTATTTTAATGAATATTTTTATAATTTTTATGAATTATTTTATAATAAAAAAATTTATAATTTTATGATGCGAGAGTAACGTGGCCAGATTTTAGAACAATATGATTTAAACAAAACATGAACTCTATAAACCATGAAGATTATTAAATGCCTTCCAAATTAACAGAAAATTTGTCAAAACAGCAAACATTCAATGTGCCAAAAGAAGTGTCAACATCAGAATCTAAGAATTGAAGCTGCCATTGGAGTAGGACCATTATAAACCTTTAGGGTCATCCAGTAATTGACCCAGATCCTCATAATTTTGTGATTTCAAGTTTGATTTCTTTTCGCATTTAAAAGAGTATACTTTAACCCAATTCAAATCACGGAATAGTCGAAGTAAGATTAGAAATCCTATAACAAAAAAAAAATTAAAACCATCATACTATAGTCCATGCAAGTGTTTTTTTTTTTTTTTTGGGAAGAGGGGGGGGGTTTAAATGGTCCATACAAGTGTTAAACCAATAAAGATTACAATCTTGGATCAGACAAGAAGTGGCCATCTGTAATAGACAGAGAACAGAGAGAGAGAGAGAGAGAGAGAGAGAGAGAGAGAGAGAGAGAGAGAGAGAGAGAGAGAGAGCTCTTTCTGAAAAGCATAAAAGCTGTGAAGACAACAGGAGGAGCATTATCCGAGACAAGAGAGAAAAGTGCCAGAGAAACACATGGCATTGAGCAACAAAAGGCCAAAACCCCCCATGAGTGCTTTTCCCATCTTTTTCAGCATCAACAAACATTCATTCTTACACCCCTTTCTTTAATTTCCCAAATTTCATTCTCATTTTCATACCCCCACAATTTTTCTCTATCACTCAACAATTTCTTAGAAAGTATAATAGAATTTCTACAATAACACCCCCCCTAAAAAATAAAAATAAAAATAAACCCCAATAAGAAAAAAAAAACTCTGGCCCTCTTTGCAGGAAAATTGTAAGGAAATAATCCACCTCAGAAAGAACTTTGGTTCTTCCAAAATCCATCTGCTCTCTTCAATAATCTGCACAGAATAACACACATTCCAACCACATTAGCATTAGAAAAATGAAATGTGTAACAAAATTTAAGGATTCAAAAAGTCCATCTCATTGTATTCTTTATAAAGTGTGTATATTAAAAATTGTTCAAAAGAAATTTTTTCTATGTATACTTACCATCATGTTTCTTCAGTAAATTCCTAGCAAACATCATGCAAATCACAAGGAACCCCACTCCTGCTGCCCCTCCTAAGATAATTGCCACCGTCTTCCCTGTATTTTGTCCTGACCCTATATCAATCAAGCACATTCCATATTAATATACTCACAAATACCCTTTTAAACTTTCACAAACAAGTAGAGACATAGAAAGTGAGACCACAAATCAGTCACACAAAAGTTTCTTGTTCTAATTCTATATCAAGTAATAATAGAGATGAGTTGTAAATCCAGATATAATGAATTCAAATTTTGAGAAAATTAGTTAAAATGCGCAAAAGCTAATACAAACACCTCAAATCCTCACACTAAAAAAAAAAAATCTTGTTGAAAGTGGTAAAATCATAAATTAATACACCCACATTACACGAGTGTATGGACAAATTCAGGTTCAACCATTAAACAATTATTGAGAGAGAAGCACAAATCTAAGTTAGACAACCACCATGTGTGGAGCTATAAAATTATTAAATGTAACTAGAAAAAATTAAAATAATACAAGCAAAAAAGGTTTTGTTTAGGGGAAAACAGAGACATGAAGTTTACAAGGAAAAGCCAAACAACAAATGAAAACCAAATGTACCTGATGAAGAAGGAGATGAATATGCAGAAGATGATGATCTTTTGGGGACCCCATTAGGATAATAACTGTAGCTAATAAAGCATTTGTGGAGATAGATTTGGCCTGATATGGAGCTTCCACACTCAACCTGAGCTCTCTGGACAGCACTTTTCACACAGTCACCACAGTCATTACTGCCCAAATCACCCTGACATTGGCCCAACACATACACAGACTCGTAGCTTGTTGTATAGAACCCACCTCCACTCACCACCCCACTCTCCAAATTTGAAAAGGCAGTGTCTCTTCTCTGTTCAAACCCTACTCCTGCAACATTTGTTCCACCACAAGTCTTGTACAGCATCTCTAGACCAGAGATTTGGGAAAACCCAGCTACCTCATAGAGCATGTAGCACCCCAAAAGTTGGATTCTTGCAGCAACGGGTTTACCACAGAGCTTGTCAATGAGTATTGGTAACTTGCTTACACAGTTGTAGCAGTCAACATTACTGAGGTCACCTCTACATTGAAAGAGACCAGAGATTGTGGTTTGGCCACTACCAGTAGTAGTCTTGAAAAACTTGGCCTTTGAGGACTGTGCAAGCAAAGAACCAAAAAGAGCTGAGAGGGCTTGAGAGTAAACCCCAGTTGGATCCGATAAAGACTGCTTTGCACAGCCCTTGTACACCAAGTTGGTGTTATCAGGAGCAGATTTAGCTGGTGGGATGAGCTCAAGATTGGTAAGGAGGACCAGAAATAAAAAGAAGAGGCAAAAGGTTTTTCTGGATAAACCCATTTGGGGGTGTTGATGGATCAAATCATGGTTGGTTTCAGAAGCTATTGAGAAAATTTAGNAGGCAAAAGGTTTTTCTGGATAAACCCATTTGGGGGTGTTGATGGATCAAATCATGGTTGGTTTCAGAAGCTATTGAGAAAATTTAGCGTTTTTGAGAGATGGGTTTTGGTAAAGGATGAGTAAAGATTGAAGGGTTGTGTTTGATATCTTGAATTTTGGTTCTTTTTCCTCAAAAGGGTTTCATTGTGTTGGGATTTACTTTCCTTTGGGATGGCCTACCTTTGTTTGAACTTTATTATCTGCAGAGCCAGAGAGCGGGGCATCTTTCTCTCTCCACAACNAATTTAGGGTTTTTGAGAGATGGGTTTTGGTAAAGGATGAGTAAAGATTGAAGGGTTGTGTTTGATATCTTGAATTTTGGTTCTTTTTCGTCAAAAGGGTTTCATTGTGTTGGGATTTACTTTCCTTTGGGATGGCCTACCTTTGTTTGAACTTTATTATCTGCAGAGCCAGAGAGCGGGGCATCTTTCTCTCTCCACAACATGTATAAACAGTATTCATATCGTCATATATATCCTCCAAACTCAAAATAATATGTTTTTGGAAATGATGAACTATCAATTTCATTAAAAAAAATAATTTTTTTAGTATCTGAAGAGAATGAATGAGAACATGATGTTTTCAAAAAAACAATTCAAAAAAGTGGGTAATTATTCTCTTGGTAAAAGAGGATTGCTGAGCAGACTGACAGGGGAAGGAATCTGATTTTGTGGGAGGTAAATGGTGAGAGTACGAAGTTTGACCAAAGTGAGCACCCACCCTCTCACACACACACACACACTCCTAACACTTGTATCAGTTTTGAATTTGAATAGTTGGGTATTTTCTTTTTCATTTGTGGGGTTTTGAATCAGGACAAATGGATGCANTAGGAGGTAAATGGTGAGAGTACGAAGTTTGACCAAAGTGAGCACCCACCCTCTCACACACACACACACACACACTCCTAACACTTGTATCAGTTTTGAATTTGAATAGTTGGGTATTTTCTTTTTCATTTGTGGGGTTTTGAATCAGGACAAATGGATGCAACATGCAAGATACAGGTGATGCTCTTTAATCATGAAGCCTGGCAATTTGGCTTTGAAATTTGAGGGTTGAAGCGTGAACCCCGTGAGAATCTCTTGTTTCACTTCAAGCTTCCAGCAATAATAAGAATAGGCGTTTCACTGGAATCAATTATTAAAATACAGCACTTTTCAAATAAAAACATCAAAGTAAGATATTTTTAAACTTATTTACTGATCTACGGTAATTTTTAAAAAGTAACAATTCCACTTTTAATAAGTGATACAATAAAAAAGAGGAAATACATTTTCATAAGTATTAAAAGCGGTTTTGTTGATTCCGCTTTCGCCATAAAAGCGGAATCAACAAAACCGCTTTTAATATTACAAAAATGTATTTCCTCTTTTTTATTGTATCAATTGTACCAAGGTCTACCACCTTTTTGGTTTAAAATTACCAAAAATTTAATTTTTTAAGTTCAAAATTATAACAATTTAAGATTAATTATTCAAAATATAATATTTGAGGTCAAGTTACACTAATGTTGGGTGAAGTTACAAATTTTTGGGATGTTTGAGATTGATCCAATGTCTTAAAATCCCCGAGATCAATCTCAAATACAATAAAGAATTGTAACTTAACTCCCCAAAATTAGCATTTNTCTTTAATCATGAAGCCTGGCAATTTGGCTTTGAAATTTGAGGCTTGAAGGGTGAACCTCGTGAGAATCTCTTGTTTCACTTCAAGCTTCCAGCAATAATAAGAATAGGCGTTTCACTGGAATCAATTATTAAAATACAACACTTTTCAAATAAAAACATCAAAGTAAGATTTTTTTAAACTTATTTACTGATCTTCGGTAATTTTTAAAAAGCAACAATTCCACTTTTAATAAATGATACAATAAAAAAGAGGAAATACATTTTCGTAAATATTAAAAGTGGTTTTGTTGATTCCGCTTTCACCATAAAAGCGGAATCAACAAAATCGCTTTTAATACTTACGAAAATGTATTTCCTCTTTTTTATTGTATCAATTGTACCGAGGTCTACCACCTTTTTGGTTTAAAATTACCAAAAATTTAATTTTTTAAGTTCAAAATTATAACAATTTAAGATTAATTATTAAAAATATAATATTTGAGGTCAAGTTACACTAATGTTGGGTGAAGTTACAAATTTTTGGGATGTTTGAGATTGATCAAATGTCTTAAAATCCCAAGATCAATCTCAAATACAATAAAGAATTGTAACTTAACTCCCCAAAATTAGCATTTTACGATAAGACACCAAAAAAAGTACTTTTAATACTATAGAATTATCCATAAAATAAATGTGAAAAGTTATTTTCTAATACCATNTTTACGATAAGACACCAAAAAAAGTACTTTTAATACTATAGAATTATCCATAAAATAAATGTGAAAAGTTATTTTCTAATACCATATTAAGAGTTACCGGATAATAAAGTGAGATTACAATATAATCAGATAAGTTATGATCCAATGGGGTTGTTTTTCATCGATCCTAATATTCGTAATTAGTTCTAAATTTTTTTTATCGGAACTGATCTTATTTATATATAATTTGACCTAGATAAATTATATTAAATTAGTACCTAGTTTATGTTACATTTAGTAAGGTAACTCCTAGGTATCCTAGTTTTACTCTATTTGTCTTGCTTTTCCAAAAGATGTCTTATCATGTTTTCATAATCCTAATGCTTCTTGTTTTGGCCCAAAGTTTTGCAAATCATTGTTAAGAATTATACTTTTTGTCAAAAACTTGATGCTTAGAGACTAAAGTTTAGACAAAGAATTTGGATTGCATATGTTTAATTTACTAGAGTTTNCAGACGCCTCGCGACTTTTAAAAGAGAGAAAAAAGAGGGGGGTTTTGGAGAGAGAGAGTAAGTGGAGCGGATTACATGGCAGAGGGAATATCAGACATGGGAGGAGAGAGTGAAAGTTGGAATAACTGAAATATGTCCACTTTCTGTAACTGTCAAAGTCCTTAGTTTGACATTCTTGCCCATGGAGATGTAAAACTAGAATCCTAGAATACCGAAATTTGCTTTTCTATATTGTACCAAAATTTAATTGACACGGTTGATCTAATATTTTTGATTTTCTAGCCGTTGATAAATTTAAAAAAGTTGGATTTTCTAGCCGTTGATCAATTAAACCAGTAGTAAAAATAGGATAGGATTCCACAAAGCATACCAAAAAAATGTTAATATAACTAAAAAATGTGGCAAATTCACTTTAAAAGTTATAACTCCCCCAAAAGTTAGAACTTAACCCAAAAAAATTATAATTCAATTCAAAAAAATTAAAACCTCACCCCAAAAAATTATAATCTNAAGTTATAACTCCCCCAAAAGTTAGAACTTAACCCAAAAAAATTATAATTCAATTCAAAAAAATTAAAACCTCACCCCAAAAAATTATAATCTAATTCATAAAAGTTGAAACTCTACCCCCAAAAAGCTAAAACTCACCACAAAAAATTATAATTCAATCTAAAAAAGTTAAACTTCACCACTAAAAAGTTGTAACCTAATCCCTAAAAATTAAAACCCCACCCAAAAAAGTTGAAATCTACACTCAAAAGGTTATAACTCAATCCAAAAAAGTTGAAATTTCACAACAAAAAAAAAAATGGTAATATATCTAATCCGTAAAAGTTGGAAGTCACCCCAAAAATTAAAACTCAATCCAAAAAAGTTATACCCTACCCAAAGAGTTGGAATCCCTCCTCCAACAGTTAAAATTCACCCCANTATCCTAGTTTTACTCTATTTGTCTTGCTTTTCCAAAAGATGTCTTATCATGTTTTCATAATCCTAATGCTTCTTGTTTTGGCCCAAAGTTTTGCAAATCATTGTTAAGAATTATACTTTTTGTCAAAAACTTGATGCTTAGAGACTAAAGTTTAGACAAAGAATTTGGATTGCATATGTTTAATTTACTAGAGTTTGCTACGAGGATCAAGCACTTTGACAACCATTTGTGACATTCTTAACCTTCATAATATTTTTCTAGTTTGAGTCGAGATTGTACGACACGTATTTTACTTAGCAAAAAAAAAAAGAAAGCGTATATTTTGAATTCACCTGAAATGGAGATAATAGAGATAGTAAAATCGTTTTACTATCCCTATTTATATCACATTCCAAGTGGGTTTTAAAACCCACTAATGTGGTAAGTGGTTAAAATTCAAACCAAAAAATAAAAAAAAAATCAAGACAATTGGTTAAAATGACTATTTTGACCATTTCTAATCTTGAACTTGAGGTTAGATTACATGGGTATAAGAACAACATACTCTAAACTCACTCAAATTATTGTAATTAATATTCGAATTTAAGAGATCAATCAGTACAATCTTGACCCACCAAAAGTCCCGCTCCCAATAAAGTAAATCAAGCTCAATTCTTTTAAAAGTTATGAGCCCCACTTTGTACATCAGCTATAAAATCCAATCATGGAGACTCATCAGTCCCACGTTTATGATTTGGATGGGCTTTACAGATCCTATCCAACCCTAACCACTTCAACAATCCAAACACACCCTAAATGTAACCACATAAGATTTGGTTACCCAATGCATAATGTTTTCATAGGATGGCTAGTTACTTTTTTTTTTTTGGTTAAGCGGTTAGAGTGTATAAGTTAACTTATACAAATTTTGATTAATTCTCTCCCTGGTTCAGTTAAAGACAAGTCATCTCCGATAAGATTAAAATATTCATGAAGAATAAATTTCTCATAGCTGAAGGCCCAATAAATTGTTAAAATTCGAATTTAAAATATTTGAATTTATAGTTCGTCCCCGTTACTATTTGAGCTACCTTGAAATTAGAATGATTTTCACCGATGACTTGTGTAATTGATAATTAATCAAATACATTAAAAAGTGTGGCATCCAGTTTTTTTTTCTATTGACATATTACAATAGGTTTGATATCCTTATTATAATAAAATAAACCATCAATCTATTAAATCNGATGACTTGTGTAATTGATAATTAATCAAATACATTAAAAAGTGTGGCATCCAGTTTTTTTTCTATTGACATATTACAATAGGTTTGATATCCTTATTATAATAAAATAAACCATCAATCTATTAAATCTTTTTAGTGCTTATGTGGACCCTCAATGTTTTAAAACTATTACAATATAATTCTTTCATTAACATCAATTATTTATTCCGTCAACAATCGTTTCCATTAATATTAACAAAATCAGTAATAAAACTAACGAAATAATTATATTGCAACATCTATTCGAATCGGACTAAGATGAATGAGATTGGTCTAACCTCTCTCTCAGATGTAAGACTCTCGCCACTAACAGATTTTTCGTGTCACCTTTCGGGAACAGTTATGTCCAATAATTAATGAATTGTTATATAACATGAATAAGCCGCTACTCTCTTATGGACCGAAAATCCATAAAAGACTTTAAAGAGGAGAAAATAGGGGATCTTATGATACTTTTAATATATTAAAAGTGAAAATTTTAATATTTAATAATACAAAATAAAAATTCTTAAATTTTTTAAAATACAAAATAAAATTCACCCAATATTATAATAAAAAAATTAGTATAATACTGGTCCAAAGAAGACACCAAAAACTCTTTTTCGGTTTTTCCTTGATTCCAGTTGTTATAGTCGATGTCAATGGCCCCCCTTCTCTCTCCTTCACCAACGCTCCTTCCCTTACCCTCCATCTACACGGCAAAGCAACGAACTTTTATACGACAGAGCGTTTCAAATTTTCTCTCTCCAACATTGAATCAATACATTAAGGTTGTGGGGATTTCTGAATTGTTCTCATTTTGATCCCATCAACGAGAAGGTACCAATGTATTCGTTGAAAGACAAGGTCACAGACAAGTTCTCACGCCTCTTTTCTGACTCCCCATCTTCTGCATCTCCAAACCCAGATCAAACTCAGGTACCCTTTTGGTTTTGTTCCACGAAAATTACTTTTCTCATGAATATATGTAGTTGTATGTGTATGAATATATATGCATAGATTCATATGTGAATCATAATTGTGATTTTCTCTTTTTTGTTACCTTTTTTATTTTCTGCTATAATGAAGCTCGTTGTAGCTCAATTAACCATGACCCTTGCTTCTGATCTCTCTCTGGAACTAGATCGTTCTTGTTTGTTTTTTGTTTTTTGTTTTTGTTTTGTTTAATTATTGTTGTATTTTGAGGAGTAGTTATTACATCCAACGGTGGATCTAAGTGGGGAAGAGGGTGAACACCTTCTTAAAGGGATGAATATTCCTTGTAGTTTGGTAGGATTTTATGAAATGATCCTCACAATTTCGAAGTTCGCCTCAAAGACTTTGTTTTCCTAAATCCTTTGAGACGTCTTGAAAGAATTCACCCCAGAACCCCAAATCGTGATCGCTCCTTGATTTCATTCTTAGGTGTTTAACAATGTTTTGGTCCTGCCACTACCAGTGTGTATTTTTTTGTCCGTGTTTGTCTTCACCTTTCATGAACAGTTCATTTGTGCAATCCAATTGTTCATTAAGTTAGAGATCAAGAACAGTGAGCAAACTTCATAACTACCTGCAGTTGTGACAAAGATATGATTTATACAACAATTGTTATTTGCATAATGTTCAGAACTATATTGAGGCTATAAAATATTAACCACCAAAAGTAGTTGGTTCCTGTAGGTGGTAATTTTCAAATTTCTAATTTCTAATCTCATTTACCTACTTGCCGTGTTTACTTGGGAGTAGGAGCTCTGAAATTATTGGTTTTGTGTTGATTAATTTCGTTTTTCCACTTTTTCTAATTTTTCTTGATTGTGAACTTTACATATTGGAGTTTGTAACACTGGGTTTGTAAATGTGTAGGCCAGGTTGTATCCAAAGAAGGAGGGTAAATCTTTATCTTCTTTGTTTTCCTCCATTCTTCCCCCTGTAAGTTTTGATAGGTTCAGATCAAACAAACATGGATATGAATTCGAACCACTTCAATCACTTCCGATTAGATGGGGTGGTAAAAATTCATCACTGCAAGAGAACTCTTTGGACAGCTATGAGGAATGTGATCTCAAATATGAGAAGATTGAGGCCCCAAATGCTTATGGAGAAGATGGAGATTATGGCTCCGCAAGGAGCACAACTTGTGAACACAAAGGAACTTTAAGTACGCATGAAGAAAATGGAGACCAAGGGTCTGGAAGGAGCACTAGTGATTCTGAAATGTTTGAAGATGCTACTGATAGGCATAGTTTAGAAAAGTCCATGCCTAATCTCACCGATGACTCTTTTTTCATTTCTCCGGACTTGTATGAGTTTTTTCAGTCGTCCCTTCCGAATATAGTGAAAGGATGCCAGTGGGTCTTGTTATATAGGTAAAATTAACTTAAATTTATGCCCTTCAATTAAAGTGGTCTTGTACTATTGCAGTTGGATCTTGATATATTTATCGTTCAATTGAAGGACAGTACGGTGAGACATGGTATTTCCCTTCGAACACTTATTCGCAAGAGTGCTGATCTTTCTGGTCCTTGCTTGTTGGTATGTTGCCATCAGTGTATACCAACACAAATTCCTATTTTAATTCTTTGAGTTTCTTCTCAGAAAATTATGGGGTTTTAAACTTTTTAGCCATACTGATATGCTATGTTATGAAAAATGGTTTGAATCACATTTTGCATGTAGATCACTGGAGATATGCAAGGTGCTATATTTGGTGGGTTGCTAGAGTGCCCCCTGAAACCGACCGCAAAGAGAAAATATCAAGTAAATTATTGTGCTATTGCATTATGAATTGATTCTAAGTACTTTTATCATTAAAAGCATGCTAACATTTTACTTTTTTGCCAAATATGTTTGATAGGGGACAAACCAAACATTTGTATTCACAACCATATATGGAGAACCAAGGCTATTTAGACCAACTGGTAAGCATTTTATTTTCAAATGTATAGACACATCCTATTCTAGGTCTTTGTTGGATAATTAGTTAATTGCATTTGTCGTTATGGATCGTCAGATTAGGATGGATTGGGGCATATATCTAATGGGGCACCCTTTTCCTAAACCTGACATGTGGGAAAAAGTAAGTCGAAATTGGGTGGGTGTTGCAGAGTGAAACACATTCACTTGTTGGTTAGAGCCCTGTCCATGTCAGACAAGTCTCTGACACTAGAACTTCTCAACAATCCTGGTTCATGTCCTACACATGCTGAGCATATGTTAAACTTGAAATGTATTTCTTATTTTTTTTTGGACATGTGGCTCACACTCATTGGGCACTTGCTGTTGGATGATAAGCGGCAAGTAAACCTTGGATGATGAATATAAATTCGTTTTATCATGGAGAAAAGGTANCATGTCCTACACATGCTGAGCATATGTTAAACTTGAAATGTATTTCTTATTTTTTTTGGACATGTGACTCACACTCATTGGGCACTTGCTGTTGGACGATAAGCGGCAAGTAAACCTTGGATGATGAATATAAATTCGTTTTATCATGGAGAAAAGGTTTAATTGTTAATAAAATGTTACAGGCTCATTAAAAAAAATTAAAAGTTCGCCTGCACCAAATTGAAAGACACTTGCAGGCATAACGAGGGGGCTGGGGATGAGGCTAATCACTGTAGTTATTTATGTACATATGCATCTTCATTTCCATAGACATACTATATTTAAGTCAGTCTTGATCTTGTTGTGTCATTTTCTGTAAGGGATGGCTCATAGTAATTATCATGATCACAAGAACGTGACTTGGATTCCTAGCAGTGCTGTCTGATTATATGCCATCATTATGCGCACACCTTCACAGACCTAGGTTGTGACTAAATCGTGCTATCAGAGCTTTCTCAATAGTAGGATTGATTCATTGCTCGCAAGATCACAAAAATAGGGCATTTCCTCAAATTTTTAGCACTGAAAGCAGTGTTCATAAGGCAAGGTGAATAAACTATCTTTCTCATGGTTCAATGTTGCGATATCAATCATCAACTTGGAGAGCACTGATTGGTCTCGGTATCACAAAACTGTATTAGATGATCCGTGTGATTTGATGACAAAGGTGATGACGACTTAATCGAGTCGACCGAGAAGTCTCCGAGCATGGTTCAAAGTATGTGCTGATATACCAGTACAACTGGCCGACTCGCATTCACCTCGACACTTTTCGATCCAATTCCATTCCACGTTCCATATACACTATGAGTTTCACACAATTCTACTGAGTTGTTCGAGACATTTATGAGTTAAGCTCGAGTCAGTGTCACCGCATTGATCGATACCGTTCTATGACACGGCAATATGACCCCATTTTTTATGTGATGTTAAACTTTTTTTTCTGTCTAGCATTTGTGTATCATCTGATATTGTTCCGCGACACAACGATTGATACATCTTAGTGCCTTCCGAGTCCATGTTTGATACTGTGACCTTGAATCATATCTCTGATTCAACCATGAGTTGAGTGAAACTTGTGGTTTACGTGGAATGTTTACCATTCTCAAAACGGAAAATGCCGAGTCNCAAGTCTCTGACACTAGAACTTCTCAACAATCCTGGTTCATGTCCTACACATGCTGAGCATATGTTAAACTTGAAATGTATTTCTTATTTTTTTTTGGACATGTGGCTCACACTCATTGGGCACTTGCTGTTGGATGATAAGCGGCAAGTAAACCTTGGATGATGAATATAAATTCGTTTTATCATGGAGAAAAGGTATAATTGTTAATAAAATGTTACAGGCTCATTAAAAAAAATTAAAAGTTCGCCTGCACCAAATTGAAAGACACTTGCAGGCATAATGAGGGGGCTGGGGATGAGGCTAATCACTGTAGTTATTTATGTACATATGCATCTTCATTTCCATAGACATACTATATTTAAGTCAGTCTTGATCTTGTTGTGTCATTTTCTGTAAGGGATGGCTCATAGTAATTATCATGATCACAAGAACGTGACTTGGATTCCTAGCAGTGCTGTCTGATTATATGCCATCATTATGCGCACACCTTCACAGACCTAGGTTGTGACTAAATCGTGCTATCAGAGCTTTCTCAATAGTAGGATTGATTCATTGCTCGCAAGATCACAAAAATAGGGCATTTCCTCAAATTTTTAGCACTGAAAGCAGTGTTCATAAGGCAAGGTGAATAAACTATCTTTCTCATGGTTCAATGTTGCGATATCAATCATCAACTTGGAGAGCACTGATTGGTCTCGGTATCACAAAACTGTATTAGATGATCCGTGTGATTTGATGACAAAGGTGATGACGACTTAATCGAGTCGACCGAGAAGTCTCCGAGCATGGTTCAAAGTATGTGCTGATATACCAGTACAACTGGCCGACTCGCATTCACCTCGACACTTTTCGATCCAATTCCATTACACGTTCCTTATACACTATGAGTTTCACACAATTCTGCCGAGTTGTTCGAGACATTTATGAGTTAAGCTCGAGTCAATGTCACCGCATTGATCGATACCGTTCTATGGCACGGCAATATGACCCCATTTTTTATGTGATGTTAAACTTTTTTTTCTGTCTAGCATTTGTGTATCATCTGATATTGTTCTGCGACACAACGATTGATACGTCTTAGTGCCTTCCGAGTCCATGTTTGATACTGTGGCCTTGAATCATATCTCTGATTCAACCATGAGTTGAGTGAGACTTGTGGTTTACGTGGAATGTTTACCATTCTCAAAACGGAAAATGCCGAGTTGGATATGACTCAACTGATTCTTTGAACACTGATTTTTCTCCTTGGCACACATGATCATGTATTATGTTCTAGTTCTGTTAAATGCTCTAGTCAGAGCATTTGGTCTGTCATTTGAATAGCTCTATTTTGTTTTGGATATGATCCAGTCTTCTCTCACATTAAAGAACTCCATTTTGGTCTGCAAATATGTTACACAGCATAAATGTGGAAAATAACAATTAGAAATCTGGAAAGATCACAGGTAGGAATTTCATTAATGTGGTTCACTATGTAAGGGCACTCATTTTAGGATCTTTTGTCACACCAGGACACCATTTTGTACGTCTTTTGGGTATATTTTCGATCAGTAAAAACCTGTGCCTTCTTTTTAGGATGAGATCACTCTATAGGGCACCCATGTTAGTGTTGAGCTGTAACTTTGTTAATGTCATTGTTGCGTAGGTAATGTTTGAGACTTGAGAAGCAGCTATTGGGAATTGGGATATTTATATCTGTTTTGTCTCTTCCATATGAATAGGTGCGAACCGATATTTTTACATGTGTTTAAATGACTTGCTAGCTGTTGGAGGGGGTGGAAATTTTGCTTTATGCTTGGATGGAGATCTGTAAGTTTCTTATCATTCTACATGAAGGTTATCTCCACTTTTTTGTTGTGACAGAGAGAGATATGTAGATTTTTCTCCCCTAATTTTGGATATTTCTGTGACTAGGTTGACAGGAACTAGTGGACCTTGTGATACATTTGGGAACTTGTGTTTGGCTCATAATCAAGAGTTCAAGTTAAAGAATGTTGAGGTAATGGTCAATTTTTTTAACTACTCTTTGTTATCTAGTTGTACTTTTTAGGAGGAGAAATACTCTGTCTATTCAATTTCAGAACATTCTTTTTGGGGTTGATTTATTGCATCTCCAGCTTCTTTTGATGGTCTATCTTTGAGTATGCCTTGTGGAATAGAATAAACGGAGAATTGCATAATAAAACAGCCCAAGAAAAACCAAGATTAAAGGCTAAAAGTTAAAAGTGTACTGAAACTTAAGAAAACTTTTGTCAAATGCATTTAACTTTGATGAAATTCTCCTAGATTAATATTTCAAGGACAAATCTGTATGGAACTTCCTCATGAATACCTTGTTATTTGGAAGTTGTTCAGATTCCTTCGTTGATTCTATTTCTTGTTGAAGAAGGAAATCCATTGAGGTAAATTGTAGGCTTAACATCAAGGTTCAACTTTAAGTCTATATTGTTTTGTCTGGGTTATAGATGAATTAACTAGATACATTTAGGATAATTTTCTGTGGTAAGTGTTGTTTCTGGATGATATGAAATTGATGGAAGTGATGTAGAAATTAACAATAAATAGAATTTTGGAGGAAAAAAATAGAATAAAAAATTCAAGATAATTAAAAATAATGCTGAATGTGTAAAATGTAAATTTAGTAAAAACAAATTCAAAAGGTAGGTAGTACAAATTAAGGATTCAGATATATTAAAATAGTGAATGCTTTAGATACTTGGAGCAGTTATCCAGCGGGAGGGAGAGATTCAAGACAATTTTCATCATACAACTAAAGCAGGATGGATTAAGTGGAGAATGCATTGTGTATANAAGGTAGGTAGTACAAATTAAGGATTCAGATATATTAAAATAGTGAATGCTTTAGATTACTTGGTGCAGTTATCCAGCGGGAGGGAGAGATTCAAGACAATTTTCATCATACAACTAAAGCAGGATAGATTAAGTGGAGAATGCATTGTGTATGCATTTGATTGTCATATATCTCTTTACTTGAAAGTTGAATTTTACAAGATAGTCATTAGACAACAATGGTTTAGCATGTCGAGGGTTGGGCATTTAGGAAACATGTTCAAAAAATAAGTGCGACAAAAATGATAATGTCAACTTAAATGTGTGGTTATATAAGAAAGAATTGAGTTAGAAATGAGTATATTCGTGAAATTCCAAAAATATTACTAATAAAGGATAAGCAAATACCTCTTATCAAAAAAGGATAAATAAATAGAGTAATCCATTTAGGTAATTTGGACATAGAAAAACTTTTACTACATCTGTGAGAAAGATTGATGTGATGTCTATCAATGGTAAATTGGTAGACATCAAATAGTTGGGACAAAGTTCTGATGAAGTTCTTGCTAGTCAATTAAAAAGAAAAAGCTAACTTGCTAGTCTGCTCAGTTTAATCAGTTTGTAAGACCAGCCTTCACTAGAACCTTGAACTAATCCCCGGTTTTGCAGAGGAGCTATTGTTTGATCATGTCTGTGTATTTTCTCACCACTTCTCCCCTTTCCTCCTTAATTTAAAATGATAATTTTAGTATATACACTAAACTGCCATACTTATAGAACCAACAGCTTACAAATGAAGAAACTGTGACACGTAAACCTAAAAAACTTTGGAATAGAATTACATTTTTTCAAAGTGGAAATCTGCTTGTAACTATTGATTTTTCTTCTATTTCCTATAATGTCTGTGTAAGTTTATCGAATTTTTTCCCCTTATTTTTCTTCGCAGGTGTGGGGTTTTACGCATTTATCTCGATATGTCACCTGAGATGAAGGCCAACATATTTGTTACCTGATTATTTATATATCTTCCGATTCTTTATTCTTTTCCTTGTTCTTTTAGGAGCTCCGACCTCCTTTTGGATGCAGAAGCGTTCTTGTTGTACATGTAATGAATAGTAGTTATTGTTTGATTGGGAGCAGAAGGTTATACTTCAGCTGCTTTAAGTGTGTGATCTGTTTATTTATGGCCTGACCCTCTTATTATCTGGGCCATTCTCTTAGCTGCTTGATAGAAGCAATGGGTTTTTTCATATACTTGGGGATCTAAATTTTGTTTCAGTGTATTATTTTGATCAGATTGAAACCAAAATGTCTCGAAATGTTACGAAAATAGACAGAAAAAATTCAAAAAATTAGGCTACGAAACATAGGCAGAGACATTCCAAAATGTTTGTCATTTGGATGCATTTTGAAATATGAAAATTTTGATATCTCAATTACTTATACGTTTTGGTAATTTTAGTTAAAACCGAGGGAACTTTTGATCTTTGCCTACACACCAATTGAAGGGGGTTGTTTCCTTAATTACACGTGCTATGATATTTAATGAGCTCACGTAAGAANTTGCCTACACACCAATTGAAGGGGGTTGTTTCCTTAATTACACGTGTTATGACATTTAATGAGCTCACGTAAGAATGACAAGACAAGGCACATGAAAGAGGCACAAGTCACTAAGTCAAACAAGTCTAGTTGAATTGGTCAAAAAGCTCGGCAAGCAGAGGGTGAGCTTGGTTCTTACCAAACCATGCCGTTCAATGAGTCAGTGAGCGATGAAAGAGCTTGGCCCTAGTCAAGGTGTTCGATGTGTAATGAAAGAATTCAGTTCTCGTCATGACCGAGCTGATTTGAAACAGCAAACGGAAAGATAAGAATTTGCCAAAAACTTAGGCGTATAAGATAAACTAATAAACTTAATTAGGCCAAGGAAACTGTTAGAGAGATTTCAACAGCTTTCCAAACTGAATCGCTTAATTGGAGAAAAGGTGTGTTACCTTGAAGCGCAATTCATGGAAACCCTAACTAAATAGGGTCTATAAAAATCAGATGGAGCCAAGTTGAAAGGTACGCTGAACTCTCTTTTCTTGTAGCAGTCACCTTTGTTCCATTACTAACTTAAGCATCGGAGTTCCTTTGATCGAAACACTTCGATCTTTGACAATTTGTTCGTTTTGTAGGAAGAGAAGATTGAGAGATCAAGTTCATAAACACTTTTTATTGGGAACATCTGGTCCAATTCTATACAGGGGAATTCATCCTTTTTTATTCCTTACACCATCCTTTTTTATTCCTTACACCAATCATAATGCATGACATGCCAACACTACTCTTTTGTATTGAAGAAAGTGGATAAGTTTGAGAATCTCAACAATTTACATAACTCTTATCCTTTTATTTTTCCGAGTCTACTTGACCAATTGATAAACATTAAATATATTATACTCCTTATTTCCAATGAAATGTGGGTCCCATCTCATCCATGTCAAAAAGAATTGCAAAAAAAATTAAAAATAAATAAATTTGTTAGCAAAGCATATTACAATTTAGAGTTAACTTGATGTCAAGGGAAAAAAATGATGCAAAGACTAGATTCCTTACATAGATATCAATAATGTCAGCCAAAATCATGCTGCTGAGATTATCAAGTGTTGACATGATTTATTCTATTGTACACTAAAATTTTAATGCATCAAAGTTTTTAGATCCCCTTAAAGCTTATTTGACTAATTGTGTTGGGTTAGGAAGCGGTGAATTTTTGAGTTTGTGTATTTTAATAATTTTTAAAATTTTTCATAGGAATTAGAGGTAGATGGAGGGACAGTGAAAATCATGCTAAGAAAGTCCTACCACTTGTTAAGGTTAAGTCACTGTTGTGCGGTGGTAAGGGGATCTATTCAGAGATGAATTCAGATTGATCCACTTGACATGAATGTGTTGTANCCCATCTCATCCATGTCAAAAAGAATTGCAAAAAAAATTAAAAATAAATAAATTTGTTAGCAAAGCATATTACAATTTAGAGTTAACTTGATGTCAAGGGAAAAAAATGATGCAAAGACTAGATTCCTTACATAGATATCAATAATGTCAGCCAAAATCATGCTGCTGAGATTATCAAGTGTTGACATGATTTATTCCATTGTACACTAAAATTTTAATGCATCAAAGTTTTTAGATCCCCTTAAAGCTTATTTGACTAATTCTGTTGGGTTAGGAAGCGGTGAATTTTTGAGTTTGTGTATTTTAATAATTTTTAAAAATTTTCATAGGAATTAGAGGTAGATGGAGGGACAGTGAAAATCATGCTAAGAAAGTCCTACCACTTGTTAAGGTTAAGTCACTGTTGTGTGGTGGTAAGGGGATCTATTCAGAGATGAATTCAGATTGATCCACTTGACATGAATGTGTTGTGTATCAGAAGGTAGACTTTAGTCTATTTTTTATTATTATTTTTTGTTTGTTTTTATTTGTGTTTTTCCTTTTTAAGTTGTTTTATTTTGTAGTCTTGCGTGGTGTTGCTTCATGATGTATGTCTTCATCATTTAACCATTGATTTGTTATTTAATTCAAACATCATGGTATTATTTTTCACATTGAGGATAATGTCAAATCTAGCTTGGGGGGAGGGGGGAGGGGGTGTAGGTGTGTCTTATGTTATGGTTGATATTATTATTTTGGTAAAACAAATTTCTTCTTAGTAAAGTTTAGTTTTTTTTTATTGAGTTAGTTAATTGTGTTGGTCGTTGAATGTTTAAATTGCATTCTCAATTATGGATGGACATCCAAATTTAGGAGCAATTAGCTTTTAGCTATGACTTACAACTGTTTAAGCAAGGCATGAAACTTTACTCTATATTTGCAGTATTTTGTGTTATATTCTCATAGAAACTCACAATTTGTTCACTTTTTAACTTGTATAAATTCAGAATTTGTTAGGTAAATTTTGCCTTGAGAACTTGAAACATATAATGGAGATGTAAAGTGACCCTACTAAATTTTGATCCAATCTTCGTGAAGTGTTATTTACGTTTACTCAATAAAGAATTATTTTATTAAGCTAATCTTCTTAAATTGTCACACCACATTCCAAGAGACACCATTGGTTTCCCAGATATGGAAGTGTAATTTAACACATGATAATACCCTCGTCTGTAATGTAACAATGCATTTAACATCAATAATACCACCTAATAACACCATAAAATAGATAAATTATATAACATAGTACTCAACCGTATTGTGTGTAGCAACATAAAAGATTAAGGATTTCGTCATTTTACAACAAGAAGAAAAAACAAACTCATGTGGATAATATGTACATAACCAGTTTTCTTAATTTTCTACCATCTCCACCATGCCAAAGCAGTAGTGAATTTCCCTCTAGACTTCAACATCTTGAAATTAATAATTTTTTTTTAGTGTAATGAGCATCATAATCAAATAAAATATAACAAAAATATGAATCAAATATTGTTCTACCAAAAAGATATTCATAACCCGCAAATTACAACCAACATGAACTCAACTCACTTTGAAACTCAAATCAACATCATATATCAAAATAATAAATATCCACATGAGCAACGAGTCAAACAATAAGCACAATGTTAAAATCAATAATACGTAAGTCATGTCAGACTATCAACAATTCGACATAGTGGATAAGACTCATGAATCTAATAAAAAATGTGTTATTCCTTAGTTACCCAAAATTCTATCTCGTAAACCATCGATATAAATATCAGAAGGGGTACTCTAAATCTAAATGTTGAAATGACACAAAAAACACCCTAGCACAAATGCGTTCTGTTGTTATAAACTTAATTAACCCTACCTCCCCATCAAAGAATGTCGCAATGAATTCAAAAAGATTACAGCAGGTCCATTGCCTTTCATCACTCTCTATTAGCTTGGAGTTCAAGAATGAAAGCCAATACCAAAAAAATTAAATATGCTAAACAACGCCAAGTTCAGCTTTTAACTTCTTCAGCCGATACTACAATACACCACGCAACAGCAGTAGCAGATGCCGCAGGGATTGCTGTAAAATCCATCCCCAGAACTGCAGAGCTAGGCACTTTAAGACTCCATTGGACCGTCCTCCCCAGGCGNTGCAGAGGAGCTATTGTTTGATCATGTCTGTGTATTTTCTCACCACTTCTCCCCTTTCCTCCTTAATTTAAAATGATAATTTTAGTATATACACTAAACTGCCATACTTATAGAACCAACAGCTTACAAATGAAGAAACTGTGACACGTAAACCTAAAAAACTTTGGAATAGAATTACATTTTTTCAAAGTGGAAATCTGCTTGTAACTATTGATTTTTCTTCTATTTCCTATAATGTCTGTGTAAGTTTATCGAATTTTTTCCCCTTATTTTTCTTCGCAGGTGTGGGGTTTTACGCATTTATCTCGATATGTCACCTGAGATGAAGGCCAACATATTTGTTACCTGATTATTTATATATCTTCCGATTCTTTATTCTTTTCCTTGTTCTTTTAGGAGCTCCGACCTCCTTTTGGATGCAGAAGCGTTCTTGTTGTACATGTAATGAATAGTAGTTATTGTTTGATTGGGAGCAGAAGGTTATACTTCAGCTGCTTTAAGTGTGTGATCTGTTTATTTATGGCCTGACCCTCTTATTTTCTGGGCCATTCTCTTAGCTGCTTGATAGAAGCAATGGGTTTTTTCATATACTTGGGGATCTAAATTTTGTTTCAGTGTATTATTTTGATCAGATTGAAACCAAAATGTCTCGAAATGTTACGAAAATAGACAGAAAAAATTCAAAAAATTAGGCTACGAAACATAGGCAGAGACATTCCAAAATGTTTGTCATTTGGATGCATTTTGAAATATGAAAATTTTGATATCTCAATTACTTATACGTTTTGGTAATTTTAGTTAAAACCGAGGGAACTTTTGATCTTTGCCTACACACCAATTGAAGGGGGTTGTTTCCTTAATTACACGTGCTATGATATTTAATGAGCTCACGTAAGAATGACAAGACAAGGCACATGAAAGAGGCACAAGTCACTAAGTCAAACAAGTCTAGTCGAATTGGTCAAAATGCTCGGCAAGCAAAGGGTGAGCTTGGTTCTTACCAAACCATGCCGTTCAATGAGTCAGTGAGCGATGAAAGAGCTTGGCCCTAGTCAAGGTGTTCGGTGTGTAATGAAAGAATTCAGTTCTCGTCATGACCGAGCTGATTTGAAACAGCAAACGGAAAAATAAGAATTTGCCAAAAAACTTAGGCGTATAAGATAAACTAATAAACTTAATTAGGCCAAGGAAACTGTCGGAGAGATTTCAACAGCTTTCCAAACTGAATCGTTTAATTGGAGAAAAGGTGTGTCACCTTGAAGCGCAATTCATGGAAACCCTAACTAAATAGGGTCTATAAAAATCAGATGGAGCCAAGTTGAAAGGTACGCTGAACTCTCTTTTCTTGTAGCAGTCACCTTTGTTCCATTACTGACTTAAGCATCGGAGTGCCTTCGATCGAAGCACTTCGATCTTTGACAGTTTGTTCGTTTTGTAGGAAGAGAAGATTGGGAGATCAAGTTCATAAACACTTTTTATTGGGAACATCCAGTCCAATTCTATACAGGGGAATTCATCCTTTTTTATTCCTTACACCAATCATAATGCATGACATGCCAGCACTACTCTTGTATTGAAGAAAGTGGATAAGTTTGAGAATCTCAACAATTTACATTACTCTTATCCTTTTATTTTTCCGAGTCTACTTGACCAATTGATAAACATTAAATATATTATACTCCTTATTTCCAATGAAATGTGGGTCCCATCTCATCCATGTCAAAAAGAATTGCAAAAAAAATTAAAAATAAATAAATTTGTTAGCAAAGCATATTACAATTTAGAGTTAACTTGATGTCAAGGGAAAAAAATGATGCAAAGACTAGATTCCTTACATAGATATCAATAATGTCAGCCAAAATCATGCTGCTGAGATTATCAAGTGTTGACATGATTTATTCCATTGTACACTAAAATTTTAATGCATCAAAGTTTTTAGATCCCCTTAAAGCTTATTTGACTAATTCTGTTGGGTTAGGAAGCGGTGAATTTTTGAGTTTGTGTATTTTAATAATTTTTAAAATTTTTCATAGGAATTAGAGGTAGATGGAGGGACAGTGAAAATCATGCTAAGAAAGTCCTACCACTTGTTAAGGTTAAGTCACTGTTGTGCGGTGGTAAGGGGATCTATTCAGAGATGAATTCAGATTGATCCACTTGACATGAATGTGTTGTATATCAGAAGGTAGACTTTAGTCTATTTTTTATTATTATTTTTTGTTTGTTTTTATTTGTGTTTTTCCTTTTTAAGTTGTTTTATTTTGTAGTCTTGAGTGGTGTTGCTTCATGATGTATGTCTTCATCATTTAACCATTGATTTGTTATTTAATTCAAACATCATGGTATTATTTTTCACATTGAGGATAATGTCAAATCTAGCTTGGGGGGAGGGGGGAGGGGGTGTAGGTGTGTCTTATGTTATGGTTGATATTATTATTTTGGTAAAACAAATTTCTTCTTAGTAAAGTTTAGTTTTTTTTTATTGAGTTAGTTAATTGTGTTGGTCGTTGAATGTTTAAATTGGATTCTCAATTATGGATGGACATCCAAATTTAGGAGCAATTAGCTTTTAGCTATGACTTACAACTGTTTAAGCAAGGCATAAAACTTTACTCTATATTTGCAGTATTTTGTGTTATATTCTCATAGAAACTCACAACTTGTTCACTTTTTAACTTGTATAAATTCAGAATTTGTTAGGTAAATTTTGCCTCAAGAACTTGAAACATATAGTAGAGAGATGTATAGCGACCCTACTAAGTTTTGATCCAATCTTCGTGAAGTGCTATCTACGTTTACTCAATAAAGAATTATTTTATTAAGCTAATCTTCTTAAATTGTCACACCACATTCCAAGAGACACCATTGGTTTCCCAGATATGGAAGTGTAATTTAACACATGATAATACCCTCGTCTGTAATGTAACAATGCATTTAACATCAATAATACCACCTAATAACACCATAAAATAGATAAATTATATAACATAGTACTCAACCGTATTGTGTGTAGCAACATAAAAGATTAAGGATTTCATCCTGTTACAACAAGAAGCAAAAAACAACCTCTTCTGTATAATATGTACATAACTAGTTTTCTTAATTTTCTACCATCTCCACCATGCCAATGCAGTAGTGAATTTCGCTCTAGACTTCAACATCTTGAAATTAATAAATTTTTTTTAGTGTAATGAGCATCATAATCAAAGAAAATATAACAAAAATATGAATCAAATATTATTTCACCAAAAAGATATTCATAACCCGCAAATTACAACCAACATGAACTCAACTCACTTTGAAACTCAAATCAACATCATATATCAAAATAATAAATATCCACATGAACGAGTTAAACAATAAGCACAATGTTAAAATCAATAATACGTAAGTCATGTCAGACTATCAACAATTCGACATAGTGGATAATACTCATGAATCTAATAAAAAATGTGTTATTCCTTAGTTACCCAAAATTCTATCTCNTCGACATAGTGGATAAGACTCATGAATCTAATAAAAAATGTGTTATTCCTTAGTTACCCAAAATTCTATCTCGTAAACCATCGATATAAATATCAGAAGGGGTACTCTAAATCTAAATGTTGAAATGACACAAAAAACACCCTAGCACAAATGCGTTCTGTTGTTATAAACTTAATTAACCCTACCTCCCCATCAAAGAATGTCGCAATGAATTCAAAAAGATTACAGCAGGTCCATTGCCTTTCATCACTCTCTATTAGCTTGGAGTTCAAGAATGAAAGCCAATACCAAAAAAATTAAATATGCTAAACAACGCCAAGTTCAGCTTTTAACTTCTTCAGCCGATACTACAATACACCACGCAACAGCAGTAGCAGATGCCGCAGGGATTGCTGTAAAATCCATCCCCAGAACTGCAGAGCTAGGCACTTTAAGACTCCATTGGACCGTCCTCCCCAGGCGGGCCAAATATTCGGAGGTTACGGTCCATTGATCCAACTGCTAGGTATTTTGCATCTGGGCCAAATTTTATACAAGTCGCTTTACCTGCACTCAGCAATAAAAAATTATCTCAACAAGTTCACTCAAAACAAAAGGTTAAGAGTACACTAACGGGCTGTGATAGAGGGAGGAGAACGACAATATTAGTTTTTTTTTTGTGTGTGTGTGTGTGTGTGTGTGTGTGAGAGAGAGAGAGAGACCTGTGCCAGACAAATCAGGGAAGGTTTTGATACAATTCCATTCAGACTTTACATTGGCAACTTGATACACTCTGCAAGCAGCCACCATGATGATATCATTTTAAGTTTCCCTCGGAAAGCTGAACAAATTACTAAATAGCAATTAACCCAACCTTCAAACAAACCTAGCACCAAATGATTAATTCGAACACAAACCTTATGTCTGAGCCACCGGTTGCAAGGTAACTTCCACTGTGGTCAAATTCCACTACACAAACCAGAAACAGAGAAAGCATAATGCAAAAGTCAAGAAGAGTAACAAAATCAAGGAAAAAGCAAAAAGATTTGGTTTCACTTATTGCTCTCCATAATGAGTATTTGGTGAATCATAAGTGATGTAACAAAAGAAGGTAGGTGGTTCAGTCGTCGGGTATGTTCTCTTGTAAATCTTACTTTGATTCTTTGTTGGATGAATATTCTTGGCCTCTCTTTAGCTCTCTGCTCAAATGATATGGAAGGCTAAAATCCCCTTCAAAGAGCAAGGCTTTGCATGGACCGTTGCACATGGGAAGATTAATACTTCAGAAAAGAAATCATCTTTGGTTTTCCCCTCATTGGTGGGTGATTTGTAAAGGTGATGGTGAAAGCATTGATCAGTTATTTTTATATTGTCCTATTGCTTTAAATTTGTGGTATAAGTTGTTTAAAATGGTAGGCTTGAGTTGGGTGATTCCAGTATCATCCATATCCTTGTTTGTGGAAAGATTTGAAAGGACATGGAGGGGGAGGTAAAGGTGTAATGCCTTGGAATTGTGCTCTCATTGCTAAGTTTTGGGTCATTTGAAAGGAAAGAAATGCAAAAATAATTGAAGACCAATATGAAAGTTTGGAAGGATTATGGGACTGAATTTATTTTCTACAGTCATTTGGGGCTTCAGCTTCTAAAGACTTCAAAGGAATTCCAGATTTTATCATTTTAGTGGGGATGGAAAGCGAATTTTGATTTATAAGCTTGTTAAGTATTTCTAATTTTTGCTCTGTTTATTGTCCTGGCTGGATTTCTTATCCAACCTTTTTTTCATGTACTTTTCATCCTTTATTAATAAATGAGTATTGTTTCCCATAAAAAAAAAAAAGGAAATAGCAAAAAGAATTTCTAGTAGCATAACCACTACTGAGGTAAAAATAGAAAGACACAACCCTAACAATCGTATGGTTTATTTACCTCTTTTTTTTTTGTTTCGAAGAAAGAGGTGTGGTCTATATGCATGAATGTTAATACAAGTATATGTATATTGATGCCCCACCTCCTCCAACCTTATTACAGTTAGAAACCATCATGTATCTTATCTGTGGTCAAACTAACTTGTTGGAAAATTGGTAACAAAACCCTCCACTTGAGATTTGTTCACTAATATGCCTTTTTTTCCCTAAAATACTATGGCAAAATTGTATTGGAACATTAAAAAGTTCCTGAGCACACCTTTGACAGAGTTCAAGAAGTATTTTCCAAGTGTAAAAAATTATTGATTTTGCATTAGGGAGCTTCTAGATGTGTTAAAAGACAAATGTTTATGTGTTCGTTTTGGACAGGCACTGGACACAAACAAAACTTCTCCTTAAAGATCCTCCTCATAATCTAAAGTCCATAAATAAGGCATGCCTATTATTCAGTTTGCATATGGAGATAGATAGATACCTGCTTGTGTGGGTGTATCCTCATCATATGGCGTAAAGCTCCTGAAATTCCTCAATTTACGTAGATCCCACAACTTGACACCATCTTGAGCAGCAGTCTGAGAAGTTGAGCACAAAAATCAAAATATGGCATGTCCAACCATCTGTCGCATCATGCAACTATTCTGTTTGAAGGAACACATACTGCTAGGAAGTAACCATTTTCTGAAAAAGATATGGCATTGACTGCCCCAATGTGCCCATCAAATCTTGCAACGCTTGCCTGCAAGCCAATAAAAAAACTAAGAGAAAATGAATGGCAAAAAACAAAAAAGATATAGATCAAATAATGAGTGATGCTGCAAAAGATATATTAAACCTGACTTTTCACATCCCAAATTTTAACAAGAGCCCCAGAGGTGCCTGTTCCAAGGATGAGACCATCAGGATGAAAAGCTGCAGATGTATAGCCCTCAGATCCTGAAGCATCAGCAACCTGAAAAAAAAAATCATACAAATGGCCATTCAGAAGTAGAAGGAATGAAGAATGCTCAGGGAAGTACACATACATTATTTTTGTGTGTGTGCATGTGTCACAGAGAGAGAGAGAGAGAGAGGTAAGACCTGAGTGAGGCATAACCCGGAAGAAAGCTCATAGAAGCACCATGTGGCATCAAGAGAAGCAGTCACAAAGTAGTTATTAGTGGCATGGATGGTGACAGCTTGCACCTGTCAGAATTCATAGGTACATTATCAAACCGTGGAATATACACTGATAGCTTAGAACAGCATTTTTTGATAGAAATTTATAACTACAACATAAATGTAGTATATGGAGAATATTGATAGAACAGGAAAACCTTTATAAACTACAATCAATGTGATAAGGAGGTGAGCCTTAGCAAAGCTGTAAGCTTGCTCCTTTGCGACTTGGGAGTCACAAATTTGAGTCACGGAAATATACATAGTATCAAGCCAAGCCTTCCAAGCTACGGTATGCCAGGCTTGACTCAAGCTCGGATACTAAGCTCAAATTATTGACCAAACACAGTTCGGTATAAGCTCGAGCCAAAAACGCGCTTCGAAAATAAATCCCAAAGCACTAATCACTAAATAACATCACAAACTCTAAATCCACCAATTTCATATAAAACTCACGTATTCGAGATATAAAACAACTAGTGATAGCAAATATCTGAAAAAAGAGACTAAAAATTAGATCAGAGAGACTTAAAAATCAGAAAAAGAAATCCTAAAATACAGAAAAAATCGGTCGTATCCGTCATTGTTGTGCTCAAAAGTATTGTTTCTGATGGCCACTTGCGGTAACGAGTCATTCAATCCCAAACCAGCTTTAGGGTTAGCTTTGTTAGTTTTACTCAAATACCCTTAGGAGCTATTATTATTTGCAGGTGTATTTTGTAATGGAAGAAAAAATTTGATTCAATATATAAAAGGTAAAACAAGCTTTGCGAGCTGCCTAAAAAATTCTTCATATTCAGTGCGTATTATGAAACAAATGGCTTGAATGAGCCAAAAACAAGTCGAGCTTGTCCCGAGCCCGAGTAGGTTGGATTGGATAGTTTAATAGTCCTACCTCTTCACATGCGATAAATGCTATGTACATCAACCTTCCCAGATCTCGTGCACTACGTGCCCTTTCCAATGGGTGGACAAAAATTATGAATTGAAACATCTTCAAATTGATACAAAAGATGATCATTGTGAATTTTGCAGGGTTACACAACGTTGTGAACTAGGAAGCACGGATACTTCCAGAGGAGTGCCATGACAGTGTTGGACACGTGTCCGACACAGTTAAAAGTGTTTTGAATAGTGAACTTAGTTAGACACAGCCAGAATACGTCTAGGACACAGCCAGAATACGTCTAGGACACGGTTAAGAATTTTTTTTATTAACAAAATAACTTTTAACTATTAAAAGGAGTGTGGTTTTTATTTTTTTAATATATTTTTTGTTATGTAACTTATATATTATGAATGTTAATAGATGCAATAATGTTTGATGAAAATTGTGGATATTTAATTTGATCAATTTTTTAATAAAAAAAATAATATTTGCTAAGTCTTATTATTAATATTGTTATAATATATACTTTATTTTTAATATATTACAACTCTATTATTATTTAAAAAATATATTATATTTTTTTAATAGTCGTATTCTTGCCATACTCGTGTCTCATATTTTTGAATTTTGTCGTATCTCCGTGTCCGTATCGTATCACATTCGACACCCGTGTCCGTATCCGTGCTTCCTAGGTTGTGAACTATAAAAAAAAAACATTACACATCTGAATTGACTATAGGTCCTATGTACAATGAGCACAAAGTATTTTTTTTTTGGCTATTATAGAACTCAACCTTAAAAAAAAGCATTGCAACTTTTATGCCCACAAAACAAAACTAATCGAGACATTCTGTATGATGTCCACACTTCATGCACAACTAGAACGGCCCAAATACAGGAAATGATCAATGATCTTAGGAAGCACAAATATGGATACGGGTACGATAAGATATGTATACGATGATATAATAAAATCTTAAAAAATAAGATATGGATANAAATATATTATATTTTTTTAATAGTCGTATTCTTGCCATACTCGTGTCTCATATTTTTGAATTTTGTCGTATCCCCGTGTCTGTATCGTATCACATTCGACACCCGTGTCCGTATCCGTGCTTCCTAGGTTGTGAACTATAAAAAAAAACATTACACATCTGAATTGACTATAGGTCCTATGTACAATGAGCACAAAGTATTTTTTTTTTGGCTAATATAGAACTCAACCTTAAAAAAAGCATTGCAACTTTTATGCCCACAAAACAAAACTAATCGAGACATTCTGTATGATGTCCACACTTCATGCACAACTAGAACGGCCCAAATACAGGAAATGATCAATGATCTTAGGAAGCACAAATATGGATACGGGTACGATAAGATATGTATACGATGATATAATAAAATCTTAAAAAATAAGATATGGATAATGCGATATAACAAAACTGAGGGAATGAGAGATTAAGAGATAAAACACATCCCAAAGTAAAACAATTTATGTTGCAGATATAGGGACTGTTTAATTGTGTTTTGAATCCACTGCTCTGTAATTCTAAAGTTAAATATGTTTTCCCTTCTGATAGTCCTTAACTTTTAATTGCAACAGACTTCAATGACTTTGACATGAACCATAAAACTCATTATTTAGAGCAAACAAATTGTAAAGGCTTCACAAAACTTGTGAAATGACATATGTGATGTACGTCCAAATGAACATCTTGAAACAAAGAATCATCATTTGTATAAATCATGGTTTCTACACAATCCATATCACTAAGAATAAGGCAAATGTATCTACTGTGAAGATACGCATAACCGAAATGTGTCTGACAAGCATCCAATAATGATAAATATTTTATTAATTATTCCATACATACCAAAAGCATCCAATACGTATCCGCAAGTAGCCGATGAATATCGGTATCTGATACGTATCGAATCTATTAACTAGGTGTAATCCATGAGCCAAATACTAATCAACTCAATTTCATAGAAACAATTTTGCGGGAAAGTAGGAAGGTTCGGGGACCTGTCCTAGCTATTGGAACAACGGCCATGAACAGTAAATACCTCCAAATTGCAACAACCTATGATTTATAATGCATGGATACTTTGTTAAGCTCAACGTATCCGATTGTATCAAATATGATACTCGCGTATAGCTGAGTATACATATCAGATATGCATTATATGCATCCCATAATAATAAGATATNCAGGGACCTGTCCTAGCTATTGGAACAACGGCCATGAACAGTAAATACCTCCAAATTGCAACAACCTATGACTTATAATGCATGGATACTTTGTTAAGCTCAACGTATCCGATTGTATCAAATATGATACTCGCGGATAGCTGAGTATACATATCAGATATGCATTATATGCATCCCATAATAATAAGATATTTGGATACTTCGCAAATACACGTCCACACTGTATATGTTTCAAACAGGAAGATGCTTACACAAAACAATATGTATACTTATTTATTTTAATCTTCACAATTTCCTCTCGGAAACAAATAACGCAACACAAAAAAAAAAAATCCATAAGAATTCGAAGTCACATAGGTGTTTCTTAAGTATTATCTACTATTATATGTCAAAAGAGCATTAAATGAGTTAACTAATTCATATCTCTAGGTGACAATTTTTTTTATTAAACCAATTAGTTAAATCTTGGTTCTAATTTACTTAATTAGGTATAGTCACTTTATGTACGTACCATAATGATTTCTTGAAAGTAAAAATTAGTGATTTTTTGCTTTGTTAAAAAAATTTATTAGACATTATAATCATCAAGTTGTCTAATAGTAGTAAAAATATAAAAGACATTTTATTACCTTATCCTAATTTTTTAGATTTTGTCGTATCGTATTATAACCATATCGGTGCTTCCTAGGCAACAGCTAAAAATAGAATGACAGGCTAAAAAAAGATGGAGAGAGTAAAGTCTAGATCTCACATAGTTATTAGGCCTCACAACTAATAAAGATAAAGAAAAGCCCGAAAGCCATACCTATGTCACAGCCTCACACCTTGGTTATTATGCCCCACCCAACACAAACAATAGAGTAAAATTTATTTTGGCCACCTCATTAAAACAGAGATAATATTACTCATATTGTTGGAGACAATAGACTTTAGCCAAGAAATCCTAGGTAGACAAGTAAGACTGCGACTTTTTTCTTTTGATACGAAAACAGACCAAGAATTTTAATAGTTATTTGGACCAACTAGGTCCATTCAATTCAACCATAAAAGAAACCAATCCATATAGCCTCAAAGACAATCACGAAAATACTCCTTATTAAAAATGACTAAGTTATGTTGTAGCCAAATTGTAGACACACCAATAATTAACCAAAGCACTAAATTAACTTGAGCAGAGTGTACAATAAAAAATTCTAATAAAGACGAGAAAAAACAAGTACCTCTGCAGTATGATCCTTCAAGATTTGCCTACAATCATAGTTCCCATTTTCAGAGTCTTGCCATATACGAACCGTCTACAATGCCATAAAAAGCAACAAAAAAACTAAATATGGGATATAAAGTTTAATACATAAAGTCAAACACTTTCTTCATAATTTTCATAAAAAAATTCAGCCTTAGCAATATTCCAATTTAATTGCAGTAGCCACAATCTTTTATGGGCATGGTCGCGCATGGAGTTATATTCTATGGTGCATCCACACAAGCTTCATCAAGCAACCACGCAGAAGAGATCTCGAAGCCTTTATACTTCTTTGTTCTAATTGTATCAGACAACCCACTTCCATAGAGATTTCACCAAAAATGTTACAACTACGAATCACTGCAATGTATACAGTAGCCTCGACTACATTTTTTTTTATAGGAAACAAGAGAATATTATTAATTGAAAGAGGAAATGTACATGAGGAGACAAGGAATCCTCTAAATGATACAAGATAAACGTAAAGTTGTGACTTGTGAGTAAAATCAAAGAGCTAACAAATATAAAATGAACAAGCATACAGAGAAATGAGAGGTTCTAAATATCAAAATTATTCATACACTTTAGCCCAATGGTTTTTGATTTAAAAAAGCATAGTTCCATCAAACTTTCAAATAATGGAAGCCCAAAGAGAAGCTAGATATTGTATCCCACAAACGCTCCCAAGCTAGGAAGCATGGATACGGACACGGGTGTCGTATCTGATATGATACAGACACGGAGATACGACAAAGTTAAAAAATATGGGACACGGGTACGACAAGGATACGGCTATTAAAATAACATAATATATTTTTTAAATAATAATAGAGTTGCAATATATTAAAAATAAATCATATATTATAACAATATTAATAATAAGACCTAGCAAATATTAAAATTGAAATAAATCAAATTAAATATCCACTATTTTCATTAAACATCATTACATCTATTAACATTCATGGTACATAAGTTACGTAAAAAAAATTTATTAAAAAAATAAATTTTTAATAGTTAAAAGTAGTTTTTTTAATAAAAAAATTCTTAGTCGTGTCCTGGCCGTATCTTAGACGTATCTTGGCCGTGTCCTAGACGTATCCTAACCGTGTCCGACTGAGTTGATTATTAAGGACACTTCTAACCGCGTCAGACACATGTCCGACCGTGTCTTGGTCATATCCGTGTCGGACACGTGTCCAATTCTGCCACGGCACTCCCGTGGGAAGTATCCGTGCTTCCTAGCTCCCAATGATTCACCCTCTCCAAAAATTCCCCCATGTCTTTCCTTCTATCTATAGCACCCAAAACAATGCCGAAAAAACACCACTATAAAATCATGACTTTGTTTCTTGATCCAAAACCATTAAAATCAATAGAAAAGGTCAACTCTCAAGTGCATCCAATCATTCCAAAAGCAAAGCCTGTTCCACAAATCAGAAACAAAGGGCAGCCCAAGGCAAGCAACCTTACCCTCGCATGAGGATAGGCTGTTTCCCCACAAATTTAAAGCAAAAGGACAGTGCAAAAATAGGTGATCCATACATGTCTCACCACTCTTCCAAAGAATATACCATTGCAGATAAAGAGAATATTTGTGCTCATCTTAGGAGCAATCAGTTTCTTATGTACTTGAACATTTGAAAGAGCCACTCTCTGAGAGTGCCATTCAATTCCACCTTAAACACACAACCCAAATAAGGGGGAATATGAGCATGCTTTTTATGCCAGACTATGTTGACAGAAATTAACGTACGCAATAAAGCTGAGATTTAAGTATCTCCTCTTGACTCATTTGAAATAGAAGTTACCAAATTCCTATCTGCAATCCCAAAAAAGTTAATTTCTGCACAGCTTCTAGGGATAGGAATGCTTCCAATCAAGCATGAACTGAAAAGTACCAAGTAAATATTGAAGTGATGTGACTCCATCTAAGCTTGTTATGCAAAGAAATGGACTGATCCCTAAATGTTCTCCATGACGAACTACTTTGCGCAAATAAATGAAACTGCTAAAGAAAGTGTATAAAGTTCAAACCTCCACCTGCAGCTATGAATCCCAGTATCTTGATCTCTTTTGAGTAAATCATAGTCTTATGCCACAGAACCTCACTTTTTATATGAAAACAAGATTATAAGGAAAATTTTACGGCAGACTGCTTCTTAAGACAGTCCTAACCTTTGATTGGGTCCCTTCTTTAGGCTCCCATGTTGGAGGTAATCATTCATGAGGACATGTTATTTCTAATTTAACTAGGACACCTCCACTTTTCCTTTGTCCCATCTTGAATTAGTGATAATTCCTTCGTTTAAATTAGGACATCCTAGAACTCTATAAATTGAACTGCCCAGAAAGTTCCACATATTCATCCTCTAAGAAATATAACATTCCTCCTTAATGAGCCAGCCTACCATGTCTTGGTTACCTTTATAGCCTTTCAGCCAGCTTAGAGTCAAGTCACAACATTTAGCTGTTGATAGGGCTTCAAAAGCTCATGCCTATTTTCTGGGGGCACAACTAGGACAAGTTAGGTTGCTGATTCATTTTCAGTTGACACACTATTGACATCAACAATTGTTTCTCTGAAAAAAAAAAAAAAAAANACGTAAAAAAAATTTATTAAAAAAATAAATTTTTAATAGTTAAAAGTAGTTTTTTTAATAAAAAAATTCTTAGTCGTGTCCTGGCCGTATCTTAGACGTATCTTGGCCGTGTCCTAGACGTATCCTAACCGTGTCCGACTGAGTTGATTATTAAGGACACTTCTAACCGCGTCAGACACATGTCCGACCGTGTCTTGGTCATATNTGGTCGTGTCCTGGCCGTATCTTAGACGTATCTTGGCCGTGTCCTAGACGTATCCTAACCGTGTCCGACTGAGTTGACTATTAAGGACACTTCTAACCGCGTCAGACACATGTCCGACCGTGTCTTGGTCATATCCGTGTCGGACACGTGTCCAATTCTGCCACGGCACTCCCGTGGGAAGTATCCGTGCTTCCTAGCTCCCAATGATTCACCCTCTCCAAAAATTCCCCCATGTCTTTCCTTCTATCTATAGCACCCAAAACAATGCCGAAAAAACACCACTATAAAATCATGACTTTGTTTCTTGATCCAAAACCATTAAAATCAATAGAAAAGGTCAACTCTCAAGTGCATCCAATCATTCCAAAAGCAAAGCCTGTTCCACAAATCAGAAACAAAGGGCAGCCCAAGGCAAGCAACCTTACCCTCGCATGAGGATAGGCTGTTTCCCCACAAATTTAAAGCAAAAGGACAGTGCAAAAATAGGTGATCCATACATGTCTCACCACTCTTCCAAAGAATATACCATTGCAGATAAAGAGAATATTTGTGCTCATCTTAGGAGCAATCAGTTTCTTATGTACTTGAACATTTGAAAGAGCCACTCTCTGAGAGTGCCATTCAATTCCACCTTAAACACACAACCCAAATAAGGGGGAATATGAGCATGCTTTTTATGCCAGACTATGTTGACAGAAATTAACGTACGCAATAAAGCTGAGATTTAAGTATCTCCTCTTGACTCATTTGAAATAGAAGTTACCAAATTCCTATCTGCAATCCCAAAAAAGTTAATTTCTGCACAGCTTCTAGGGATAGGAATGCTTCCAATCAAGCATGAACTGAAAAGTACCAAGTAAATATTGAAGTGATGTGACTCCATCTAAGCTTGTTATGCAAAGAAATGGACTGATCCCTAAATGTTCTCCATGACGAACTACTTTGCGCAAATAAATGAAACTGCTAAAGAAAGTGTATAAAGTTCAAACCTCCACCTGCAGCTATGAATCCCAGTATCTTGATCTCTTTTGAGTAAATCATAGTCTTATGCCACAGAACCTCACTTTTTATATGAAAACAAGATTATAAGGAAAATTTTACGGCAGACTGCTTCTTAAGACAGTCCTAACCTTTGATTGGGTCCCTTCTTTAGGCTCCCATGTTGGAGGTAATCATTCATGAGGACATGTTATTTCTAATTTAACTAGAACACCTCCACTTTTCCTTTGTCCCATCTTGAATTAGTGATAATTCCTTCGTTTAAATTAGGACATCCTAGAACTCTATAAATTGAACTGCCCAGAAAGTTCCACATATTCATCCTCTAAGAAATATAACATTCCTCCTTAATGAGCCAGCCTACCATGTCTTGGTTACCTTTATAGCCTTTCAGCCAGCTTAGAGTCAAGTCACAACATTTAGCTGTTGATAGGGCTTCAAAAGCTCATGCCTATTTTCTGGGGGCACAACTAGGACAAGTTAGGTTGTTGATTCATTTTCAGTTGACACACTATTGACATCAACAATTGTTTCTCTGAAAAAAAAAAAAAAAAAAATCAGCCATAAGCTAGTTAATGACATAAATTGCTGACAAGTAGTTATGTTTATCAATAATTTGGAATGGTCTACCCTCCTCACTGGCAATGATCCAAACAATTTGTTTAAGGCTATACAACATTAGGAGGGTCTCTGCTTTTAAAGATTTATTAATCATGATATTATCACCAACTTTGGAAGCTTAATGGAGACATTCAAGATCCTTCTACTTCCAATTACACATTTACAGTAAGCAGTTTTGTACCATATTCCAAATTTTTATTTTGATGAAAACTAGCAACTTGCCCATAATAAATAGAAACCAAAGAATCTGATCAAAAAAAAAAAAAACTGGAAACCAAAGAACAAGAAGCACAACATGCAAATCTACTACCAGTTAACTCATTTCGTAAAGTAAGCAATTTTTAAGAGATATAAGACCTCAAAATTCATGCCCCAAATTAACGGAAACTCAAATACCAAATGATGTCTGCTTCTTCATGGAAAGAATAGGTACTACTACCCCCGTGTGAACTACCAAAATTCACAGCTGGATAACTTGATTGCTCTCAAATTTCAAATATGTAAATAGTACCCGCAACTAATGTATCCTGTAAAGCTATGTTTCTTAATTTCATCTGATTAATGAACAGCATTGTTTCTTATCAAAAAAATATATATTCCGTGAACCTCACAGGCAATTCCAATTTCCAACAAAATGGAAGAAAAAAGCAAGAAAACATTAAAAAAAAAGAAGTTAGATCATCTGACAAAGAAGACAGAAAGCAGCAAAGGTTCAAGAAAATTGCTAGCATGAATTTGAGATCGATAAACATGGACACGGTATACCTTATCAGCAGAACCAGTAACGACTAATTCGCCCTGAGCTGCAAATTTGACGCTGGTAACCTGAGACAGAGAGGAAGAAAAAAAGAAGAAATGTTTGATGAGCTAAGATTATTTTGACCATGGAAAAGAACTTGCAACGGTTGAACAAACCTTCTTTGAATGACCACTGAGAGTAGATAAGATCTGTCCAGAAGGTCGATCAAAGACGACAGCATTTGTATCAATCCCACCAGTAGCAATGATATCCTGGTAAACCAACAACAAATATGCTTTATCGTACTTATCAAATTTAAAGGAAAAAAGACCATTCAATAGTAACTTCCCAGGCATAAATAAGAGCAAATAAAAGATAGACGCAGTTTATGTTGTGTGAATCCCATACCTTGGAGTGATAAATATCCATAGATAATATGCCAGGTTTGTTGGTTTTGTGAAGAGGATAACTACTGAGCTGGGTATACCTCTCCACAGCTTCAACAGGAGCTAGAGTTGGAGGGATCTGGAACAAATTCAAAAAAGAAAAAAAATACGGAGTCACATAGTACATAAGCTATGATAACACCTTCATACATTTAGGCTAAATAGAGTCCTCCATACAATTGTTTTGCCAAATGAGATTAGATCAAAGAAACAATCAGGGGAAATGCTGCTATCAACATCTAAGAAACATCACTTTATTTCAGGAAGCACTGTAATTTTCTATCATCAACGACAATACCTGCCGCTTTTTCCGTTGCTGTGAAAGTGCAGCATTACAGTCAGTAAGCTCTGCAATGATATTAGCTGAGATTCCTGGACGGATTTTCTTTCCACCAGGGCCCATCTCATCATCCTCAGCAGCTTTAATTACAGAAAATACCACAAATGAACCACCACACATAGTAGCAAGCAAAATAAATTGTGCCTTGAAGCAAAAGCAGCAAGAACCTCTTTTCCCATTGCTTAAAGCGGAAACATTAGCAGTGGTCGCTGTTGATGCTGCCATGGGTATCTGTCTTTCTGCCTGTGCCAATAATGCCCTTGCTTCATCCCTTTCTTTTTTCAGTCTTGCAATTACACGGCAAGCAGCATCATGCTGCCACCACATGACAGATAAATATTGCAACAAATTTCATTCAATTAAGCAAACAAAAAAACAAAAAGGGAGTACATACCATATATAAGTTATTAAAACAATCTAAAAGGATGAGAAGATAGAAGGAAACACTTGATAGGAACAAGAGGAACAAAGCATGCACAACTACAAAGAGTGATGTGATACCTACACATGGAAATGCAAAGGGTAGAGGTAGAAACAAATCATCTTTGAATGAGATAGTAAAAATGTTGTGATAATCTGCAGTGTAGCGGTATGGTCCTTGATAGAGCACAATGGAGGAATAAGATTTATATAGCCAAAGCTAGAATAATTGGGACAAGGAACAGTTGAGTCGTATCATTTTTGGATCCCCATCTACTTCAAATACCTTTTCATCCACCAAGTGGCTAGTGCATTACTTCTCTTCCATACTAATACATATATCCTAAAAACTTTATAGGCTGCATTATTTTAAGTTTCTTGGCTCACTCATCTATGAGCATGAGCCAACATATTTGCATAATAGCCACATAAACAATACGATTCTCCCTTTGATGTTCCCATAAACCCACAAAGTCACCAATGTACCCAATTCCATATCTAAATATAAAAAATGCTTTTTATGGCTCATGAAGGGATGTGTTTTTTTGTATAGCTGGTTACCCCTTGGCCTTTTATTATCTTGCACACATTTGTTATTCTTTTCACTAGATTCTAAAAAAAATGAACTACTAAAGGTAGTTTAGATTGGTAGCAAATGATGCTACCTCTAGACCAACCATTGCAAAACACAATTAGCACGAACACTTAATTTTGGTCAAGGTATCGATGTCGGACACGTTTGGGACACAAACACGCTAAAATGAGTATTTGATTTTTTTTTTGTTTTATTTTTTTCGGACACGTTGGGAACACACGATAGACACTCACAGGACACGATGAGCACCATAGTTGTTAAATCGCGTATCGAATGGCATATCATTTTTCAAAAATGGTAGATCGTCATATACGCGCAATTTTAAATAATAAATATATATATAACATAGCATTTTATTAATATTCCACTAACTATTCAACTTCCTAACATAGTTCAATAATATTAAAATACAAAAACCTCTAATTCAAACTTCTAACATTAATTGCGTGAACAACCTTAATATTAATCAGGAATTTTAAATTCAATTGAACAACATTAACAACAGATTTTATTTTATTTTTAAATCATAGCCATTGAAACAATGTTGTTTCCCTCGCTAGTGATTAAAATATAAGTCCCGGGGTGAAACAATGTCATTTCAACCCCAAAAAACTAAAAAAAAATAAAAAAACAGAATCTTCACATATCGTATATCGTACGATACGGTGCAAAAAAGATAAAGAGATATGAAACGTATCGTTTTTCACGTGTATCGTGACGTATCATATAATACTAATAACTATGTTGGGCACACACGGCCGACACATCAAGGGACACGTTTTGAGCTTTTTTCCAATTTTTGAAAACTTGTCAAGTAATTTTATAAATAAGAAAATTATTTTTGTTATTTTAAAGAGATAAAGATCAAAGTTATAGTATAAAAGAGTAACAATCACTACACGAACATAGTACACCGATATAAACATAATTTTAGACATGATTACGAAATTGTATACAAATGGAATAAATTTTTTATATGAAAGTAATTTAATGAAAAATATGGTTATGAAATTAGGGCTCTTTGAAATTAAATAAAAATTAGGGTTATGACGTCAAATATTTTTGAAAAAAAAAAATTTAATAGTCATTGATTGTTGTATCATGAAAGTTTTGATGAATGTGTATGATATATTTGATATTTGTTTTATTCAATAATATCGTGATGTGAATTGTAAGAAATAAGAAAATGATGAACTAAATGATTATCATTAAAATATATTTATTTTATCATATAATCATATATATATAAATAAATATATACATAATATTTAGCGTGTCCCCTTACCCTACCGTGTTCGTGTCCTATTTTGTTTTTAAAATAGCGTGTCCGTGTCGGTGTTTCTTAGATTAGAACTATAGACTTCCACACTGCCTGTGAGAGAGGTGACATGGTGTGATGCTCAGATTCATATAAAGAATAACATAAATCTACCAGATATTATATTGGACACTCCACAATCAAAGCAAAGAAAGATAAAAGATACACAGTTAAGTCAGTATACAAGCGGCTTATCTGCACCTGGTATAGGGCATGACTTAGCTCTTGCCTTGCTGTATGTAATTGTTGCTCCAACGCAAAATTTGATAGCATCAAGCCATCCCATTCCTAAGTGTAAAAGAAGATCATAGAACAACAAACTCCTAAAAATTAGACGTGTCAGAACATTTCCCTCAAATAAAATGGAGGAATATGACACCACAACAGTAGCGACACAGGCAGACAATACATATGCATTAATCCAGGACACAGAATGGAGGGGGTGGTTATTTAGCTTTATATAGATTTTAAACCCTCTCAAGGGCTAATATTTTTCTCCCCCTTTTACGGATAAAAATTTAAATTCCCTTGGAAGATTTGACCAAAATCAACGCCAACAAATAGAATAAACCAAGTACAAGCAAGAAGCAGCTGATTTTCCGAAAACCATATGAACTGTTCTATATCCAAATTGTACCACAAATTTTTACCCTGTGTATCAGGGCACTCATAGATTTAGCAATTTCATGATATGACAGTAAGAAATATATATACACGCGTGCACACATGAAAGAAGACCTTCAAATCCAATGCTCTGAAAATCTTCTTTTCTCAAATATGTGCTCCACGATTTCCAACTTCCGCAGTTAATGCTGCAAACCCACTGGACTATGGGGATGAAAAGAAACTCTATGACCAAAGAGGCAAAGACAGGAAACAAAATCTACAGGTAATAAATATTAAATAAGAAAAGCTAGCAAAGTGAAGATTGAGATAAAGCATTTTTATGGGCAGAAAGCAGCAGACTGAAAATGATCCTGTCCACGATTCAAATCACCAAATAATCAACTTAAATGTCGTTATAATAATGGACCCTCACCTTTGCGAGCTCGAATATTACAATAAAGTTTTCAGCCACATGATGATTCTAAGTGGAATGATATGGAAAATCTGAATTATACTTAATTCATACATAGGATGAAAATATTTCCAGCATTGATAGCTTTAGAAACAGGAGTCTATGAGCAGGAAAAACGTACAATCTGGAACATGCCAAGCATCCCAGGAATGCTTGCAGCTTGTACTGGTCTTGGCTTCACTATCTACAATAAATTTCAAAAAGAATAAGCTTCAGGATACTATAGCAACAGGAAAAACAAAAAGTGATACAAACAAATGCCTAAAAATATGGTAGAATGGACCCATTAATACAAAACATACCTTGCCAGTTTTTATTGGAATAAGATCGTCCATTTCCAGTGACTCCCCAGTAACCGGACATTTTCCATAGTCCTAGTGAAGAAGTAAATGACAATGGAGTTTTTTATAAAAGAAACACTTAATATCACCTCAAAAAAATATCAATGAAGACTAGCTGATCGAGAACAGAAAATCCCATATTTCTAACAGATGCATTACTGACCCCCTGTTTAGTTACTAAAACTGACAGAAAAAGGACCCAGAAAATAAAAGAACAAAAAAGGATGACCTTTTCGTAATATGATTCAAAGTCCACATTCAATTAGCATATGCAATTAAGGGCTATAATTTGTCCCATCACAAAGAATACTAGGATAAATAATTTTGGTACTGAATTTTTATAGCTAAATCCAATGTTTGGTAAACAGGGATGATTAACACATTTTAATTGCTCATTCCAATGTTGGTAAATATGGATTAGGTAAGCACCCAAAAAAAAAAAATGGATTAGGCATGGAATAACACCATATAATCCAACCCGATGTATGGTGAGACCATGGGTTGGACTGGAAAAAATAGCAAATGAAGCAGATGTCCCACTGATTTCAACACAAAATTATGAAAAAACAGCCACATGAAAGCCTCGATAAGGAAAAATAATATGAGAAATGACAAAATTTGATGGTAAAGAAAGTTTCCTAAACTCATACCATGCCGTTAAAATTCATAGTGTGTTCCAAAATGCATCTGATTTGCTTTCACTTTTCAATGATAAGCATTGTAATCAAAAGGTCAAGCTCTGGCAGAAAATCAGTTGTGCTGGGTTGGTAGATAGTTGTGCAATAGAGATGAAATGGAGAGAAGTGATATGGTGGAATTTAGATAATAGACATAGTGAAATTCACAGAAATAGTCCAACCCCACCTTAGCAAATCCAACAGGAAAACATGGGCCAAATTTTAATATCAAGTAGGATGACTTGAGGGAAAGATTTTTTTTCCACTTCTGTTATATATTCTAATTTCTTTGGAAAAAAAGAAACAATTTTTTTCAGCATTTAGGATTACAGAATTATGCCTTGGAATTGGAGTAAAACTAGTTCAACATTTGAACTAGAGTAGATTGCGTTCCCAATGCCAAGGCTGGGATACTGTGTTGGAAAATGCAACCTTAAGATTTATATTGGACAGACAGCAACCCATGTTTATTCAAGCAGAAATTAGAACATGCATCAAACCCTATGGAAAACGACGAATTGGGAAATGCTATACCAAAAAAAAGAAACAAATACACTTGAGGCGAGCGGACAATTTCCTTTTGTTCCTCCAATTTTATGCCTGCTTTCTAAGGGTTTGAAGCAACGAGAAACACTGCCCTGAGCTCAATGGCAAAACATGACTCATGTAGCTGACCCCAAAATCCTTGGGACAAGGCTTTGTTGAGTTGGGTTGAGTTGAAGCAATGAGAAACACAACGTCACATTTTATACATCTTATTTCCTTCTCTGGAAGTAACCAAACAAGGGATTTAATCTAGTAGAAAGCCTATAAAAAAGGTAGAAAGAGGAACAACAAACGAACCGATATGAGTCTCTCGATTAATCTTCTCTCATAGAGAAGTCCGGACTTCTTCGAAACCACCGGATCTTCCGGCACCTCGCCGGAAACTGTACGGACACAGTTAACACATAGCACATGTCAATCAACAAAACTAATAGCACTAAACAATAACAAACATATATAGAGAGAGTGATAATTACTTGAACAGTTCATTCTGGAGAGAGAGAGAGAGCTTGAGCTTGAGTTTCTGGTAAGTGGGCAGTTCAGAAGCAGGAGCTGATGAAGACTGAGCAGAGAGGGGCAGAAAAAGAAGAAAATGGCGATTATCAGGGTTCGGGATATTTACAGTAGGTTTAAATCCGACCCGGGTATGATGGTTGGGTTGTATGAAATGGAGCGGCCAAAGCGAGTTCTGGTTTTGGCCGACGGGTGTTGGTTGAGTGAGATATTATGTTTATCATTATAATTGATAATAAATGGGGTGTCGTGTCAGCTGGATTTGTATTTGACCTATACTATTTTAAAATATTAGTATATTAAAAAAAAAAAAATTACCTTTACCCTTCGACAATACCACTACGTCATTCTTATCCTTTCAAATTAATGACAAACTAAACTTAATCATCACCTCCGATTATTCCTTATTTTCACTATTACTATCTCCCTATTTAACAGTCATTACTCTCTCTCTCACTCTATGTATTCCCAACTCTGTGAGGAACACACCTACCACTCCCTCGATTCATCTCTCTTTCTCTCTCATGTGTAATCTATTGGAGAATATCATGCAATCCTATGTTTTAAACAAAGAGAAGGCGCTTACTGATGCTGAAATTTAGTTTGTTATTTTACTCTTCTATGCTGAGTTACACATAAGAGCACAATTTTATTTTCATTCTATAGGTTGTTAGAATATTCTTTTCCTATAATTGTATATATGTGGGTTGTTGTACAGATGAACACAATAACGAAAAGGGCAGATTGTCATTCATACTATTTTCTGGGTTCTATGTTCTTCTTCCGTTTTTGGCCACTTTGCATTTCATTCTGTTACATGGTATCAGAGCTCCCTTCGATCCCAAATCCACGCCATGTCTAGCTCCTCTGATATCGAAGATTCCACCACCGTTACCAAACCCTTGATTGAAAAGTATCTCAATTTTTCAAACCCTTTCAATCCCTTTTCGCATCGACACCGGTGATAATCCAGCCGCTGCTTTGTTCTCCGATCTTTTGACCACCAATAACTACGTTAGTTGGTCTCGGGGGTCAGTCGTGCTCTTCATGCCAAGAACAAGCTTGGTTTTATCAATGACACTCTTCCAAAACCAACCGATGCTGCAGATCCCCTCCTTGAAGCCTGGGGACGATGCAATGACCTCATAGTTTCTTGGCTGCAAAATTCGGTGAGTGCATCTGTTAAATCTAGCCTTGCTATTGTTGATGATTCCCGTATTCTTTGGCTTGAACTTCAGGATCGTTTTACTCAACAAAATGGTCCCCAAAATTTTCAACTGAAACGCGACCTTGCTAGCCTCTCTCAAGCTCAGGATTCTATTAGCATTTATTTTGGTCGTCTGGAAGCTCTTTGGGATGAATTGGCTGTTTATGACTCCCTACCTGATTGTGATTGTGGCANGGACAATTTCCTTTTGTTATTCCAATTTTATGCCTGCTTTCTAAGGGTTTGAAGCAACGAGAAACACTGCCCTGAGCTCAATGGCAAAACATGACTCATGTAGCTGACCCCAAAATCCTTGGGACAAGGCTTTGTTGAGTTGGGTTGAGTTGAAGCNCTCCCTACCTGATTGTGATTGTGGCAAGCTGAAAATCCTTCATACCTGCTACGATAGAGACTATGTTATACAGTTTCTCATGAGCCTCAATGATACTTATTCTTCTTCCCGAGATCAGATTATGCTTATTGAGCCTTTACCCTCTCTTAATCGAGTTTTCTCCATNCCACTACGTCATTCTTATCCTTTCAAATTAATGGCAAACTAAACTTAATCATCACCTCCGATTATTCCTTATTTTCACTATTACTCTCTCCCTATTTTTCAGTCATTACTCTCTCTCTCACTCTATGTATTCCCAACTCTGTGAGGAACACACCTACCACTCCCTCGCTTCATCTCTCTTTCTCTCTCATGTGTAATCTATTGGAGAATATCATGCAATCCTATGTTTTAAACAAAGAGAAGGCGTTTACTGATGCTGAAATTTAGTTTGTTATTTTACTCTTCTATGTTGAGTTACACATAAGAGCACAATTTTATTTTCATTCTATAGGTTGTTAGAATATTCTTTTCCTATAATTGTATATATGTGGGTTGTTGTACAGATGAACACAATAACGAAAAGGGCAGATTGTCATTCATACTATTTTCTGGGTTCTATGTTCTTCTTCCGTTTTTGGCCACTTTGCATTTCATTCTGTTACATGGTATCAGAGCTCCCTTCGATCCCAAATCCACGCCATGTCTAGCTCCTCTGATATCGAAGATTCCACCACCGTTACCAAACCCTTGATTGAAAAGTATCTCAATTTTTCAAACCCTTTCAATCCCTTTTCGCATCGACACCGGTGATAATCCAGCCGCTGCTTTGTTCTCCGATCTTTTGACCACCGATAATTACGTTAGTTGGTCTCGGGGGTCAGTCGTGCTCTTCATGCCAAGAACAAGCTTGGTTTTATCAATGACACTCTTCCAAAACCAACCGATGCTGCAGATCCCCTCCTTGAAGCCTGGGGACGATGCAATGACCTCATAGTTTCTTGGCTGCAAAATTCGGTGAGTGCATCTGTTAAATCTAGCCTTGCTATTGTTGATGATTCCCGTATTCTTTGGCTTGAACTTCAGGATCGTTTTACTCAACAAAATGGTCCCCAAAATTTTCAACTGAAACGCGACCTTGCTAGCCTCTCTCAAGCTCAGGATTCTATTAGCATTTATTTTGGTCGTCTGGAAGCTCTTTGGGATGAATTGGCTGTTTATGACTCCCTACCTGATTGTGATTGTGGCAAGCTGAAAATCCTTCATACCTGCTACGATAGAGACTGTGTTATACAGTTTCTCATGAGCCTCAATGATACTTATTCTTCTTCTCGAGATCAGATTATGCTTATTGAGCCTTTACCCTCTCTTAATCGAGTTTTCTCCATGATTCAACAACAAGAACGTCAACACCTCATGCTTAATTCCTCTCTCACTCCTGATCTTATGGTTCTGATGGCTAAAAATAATTTTCCATCCTCCAAACCTTACCATAAATCTTCCCCATCCACCACCCAGAAATCCACTCGCCCCTACTGCACTTATTGCAAAATTCAGGGCCACTTCCTTGAAAATTGCTTTAAGGCAGGAAATGCTACCCCACCTCTTTGTTCCCATTGCAATATGACTGGTCATTCCATTGACAAATGCTATAAACTACACGGATATCCACCTAGTCATAAACTTCATGGAAAGCCAAACCACTTTGTTGCTGTTGTTGCTTCATCCCAGCCTTGTTCCAATGGCAATACTGATGAAGAACAAACTGAGCCTCTGGCTCTTACCAAGAGCCAATACAGTCAACTCCTTCCGTTGCTGAATTCTAACCAGTTCAGCCATGGCCACCATCTCGGTTGCTCAATCTTCCCCATCTTCTAATACTGTCCACAACTCCAAAGTTTCTGGTATGACTACTTGTTTATCCACTAATACACACACTCACACACCTGTTTCATCACACACTTCTCCTTGGATCATTGATACCGGAGCAACAGATCACATAATCTGCTGCTCATCCCTTTACACATCCATCACTGCCGCTACTTCTTCTTTGGTTAAATTGTATAACGGTTCAAATGTTACTGTTACTCACATTGGTATTGTACATCTCTCATCAACTCTAATACTTCAAGATGTACTTTGTGTACCCTCATTCAATTTTANGCTGCTCATCCCTTTACACATCCATCACTGCCACTACTTCTTCTTTGGTTAAATTGTATAACGGTTCAAATGTTACTGTTACTCACATTGGTATTGTACGTCTCTCATCAACTCTAATACTTCAAGATGTACTTTGTGTACCCTCATTCAATTTTAATTTAATTTCTGCCAAAAAACTTGCTCTTAATTCGGCATGTTGTCTCATTTTCTTCTCTCATTCATGTTTTGTACAGGACTTAGCCTCATGGACAACAATTGGGATGGGTGAAATGAGAGGTGGCCTATATCATTTGTTGAGATTTGGTGTGTCTCCCTCAGCCTTGGTTGATGTTTTCCCAACTTTACACCTTAAAGAACAGTCTCTTAGTGCTTTTGTCACCTGCAAGGCTTCTGTTTTTGATTTATGGCATTGTAGGCTCGGCCACATTTCTTTTTCTAGACTTCTTTTAATCACTNCTCCTTAAAAACAGTCTCTTAGTGCTTCTGTCACCTGCAAGGCTTCTGTTTTTTATTTATGGCATTGTAGGCTCGGCCACATTTCTTTTTCTAGACTTCTTTTAATCACTGATCCCCTTGTAAGACAGAGTATGAATTCGCCTAATCAATCACCTTGTTGTGTTTGCCCTTTGGCCAAGTAATATCGTATCCCTTTTTCCTACTTCCATAACTAAATCTCTTCATGCTTTTGATATTTTCACTAACATTTTGGGTCCTCACTACATTGTTGTAGTTGATGGCTCTCGCTTTTTCTTAACTNGTAATATCGTATCCCTTTTTCCTACTTCCATAACTAAATCTCTTCATGCTTTTGATATTGTTCACTGACATTTTGGGTCCTCACTACATTGTTGTAGTTGATGGCTCTCGCTTTTTCTTAACTCTTGTCGATGATTTCTCAAGGACCACATGGGTCTACATGCTCAAAAACAAATCTGAAGTAAGACAATGTATTAAAAGTTTTTACTCCTTAATTGAAACACAATTTCACAAAAGAACCAAAGTCCTTCGAAGTGATAATGGCAGAGAATTTTCCATGACAGATTTCTTCACATCTAAGGGTATTATCCATCAAACAAGTTGTGTTGACANTCGAAGTGATAATGGCAGAGAATTTACCATGACAGATTTCTTCACATCTAAGGGTATTATCCATCAAACAAGTTGTGTTGACACACCACAACAAAATGGGATTGTTGAGCGTAAACATCAACACATCATGAATGTAGCTTCGCGCATTAAAATTTCAATCTCATGTTCCTCTTCAATATTGGAGTGATTTTATTTTGACCGTTGTTTATATCATAAACCGAACCTTAACTCCCTTACTTCACAACAAAACCCCCTTTGAAATCATATTTGATAAACCTTCCACTTAAAATCACATGAGAATTTTTGGTTGTCTTAGTTTTGCTTCAACTCTATCTCATGGACGAAAGAAGTTTGATCCAAGAGGTAGGAAATGTGTG